GCCCAATCTGCATAGTTATCGGGTTGATGTTGTTTCCTGGGGACGTATCAGTATTATACTCGCCCCAAGATCTTTCTCCTTGAGTGAAGTTTGCAGTCTTTGGCCACCTAGCTTATGCTCTGCGGTCTTCTTTGCCCGTCCCTGATCTTCACGACTTTGTATTTGGCGGGGTTAAATTCGAGGAGCCAGTTGCTTGTAGCCTGTCCAGGTCTCTTTGTAGTCCTGCCTGACCCTCATCTGATTTGATTCTCCTCATTAACTTCACATAATCTGCGAAGAGGGATACTTCTGAGTCTATCCCTTCCATCATGTCATTCAGAGATACGTGTGTCTGGCTCTGCTGGGGTTTAGGCAAAGGGGTCCATCTGATCTGACTGGAAACATATCCTTCCCGTTTCTCTTTCTGGAGGGAACTGTTTCTTCTATAATTTCCGTCCATATGTAAAAAGTATATATTTCCTGGATTTCTGGGAAGAAGGGTTCAATAAGGCGTGAGCTTTGTTGCCCTTAATCCCAAACAACAACAACAGAAAAAGATCAGTAAGTTCATTTAGGTACATTTCCAAAATATTTAGGTAATGACAGTTGACCTACATAACATGTGTAAATTATCTAGGATAACCCACAAAAGCGAAACAAAGTGATTTATTTCTATTAAATCAAATCAGATCGACAAGTTTATTCTCTATAAGGATTACAATGCTGGGTTTACAGAATTTGGATATTGTGTGGTTTACATGTTTTAAAATACTAATTACAGAGGGTACCACTAGAACACCTAGCATGGCTAGGCATTTCAGGCAGACTTAGATTAATTCTTAACTTTAAAATATTACAAATTATGAGGTAAGTTGACTAAATACTAATTTGTGAGTTTAGCAATGTGAATGCTTTTGTTTTTGCACAATACATAGTTTCAGTATTGGAGTATCACAGGCCAACTTATGACTAGTTAGGATTCATTATTTTAAGATTAAGATTGATATTTCTGTGTTTATGGTCAAATGGGTGAGTGAGTGTAAGTGTGAACCACCAGGTGGTATTCGTGTAGTTAGTTGACGGGGTGTATCAGGGAGATAAGATGTTTTCTAATGGTAGTCTTGAAGGTGATGAATGTGTCTGCAGTTCTAGAGTTTTCAGGGAGGGTGTTCCAGATTTTAGGGCCTTTGACATGCATTGAATTTTTTTAAAGGTTTAGTCGGACACAGGGAATGTCATAGAGATGTTTGTGTCTGGTGTTATGCCTGTGGGTTCTGTCACAACTATCAAGAAAGCATTTTAGGTCAAGGTTAATATTGGAATTTAAGGTCCTGTAGATGTAGATTGCACAGTAGTAAGTGTGGATGTACTGAACAGGGAGTAAGTTTAGATCTATGAAGAGGGGGGGGGGTGTTGCCAAGGATGGGATTTAGTGATTATTCTTACTGCAGCTTTTTGTTGGGTTGTTATTGGCTTTAGGTGTGTTGCTGCAGTTAATCTCCAAGCACAAATAGCATAGGTGAGGTAAGGATAAATGAGTGAGTGGTATAGTGTGAGAAGGGCATTTTGCGGCACGTAGTATCGTATCTTGGAGAGGATCCCAACCATTTTGGATACTTTTTTGGTTATGTGTTTTATATGGGTGCTGAAATTCAGGTTGTTGGCAAGGTATAGGCCTAGGAATTTGCCCTCATTATGTCTGGCAATTAGAGTGTTGTCGATCTTAATGTTAATTTGCGCAACTCCTGCTCTGCTACCAAACATAATGTAGTAGGTTTTGTCAGTGTTAAGCGTAAGTTTATTGGCTGTCATCCAAGTCGATATTTTGAGCAGCTCCTCGTTAACAATGGTGTTGAGGGTGGCAAGATTAGGGTGAGAGATGACATAAGTCGTGTCGTCAGCAAAGAGAATGGGGTTCAGGTGTTGGAATACGTTTGGAAGATCATTGATGTATATGCGGATGAGCAGGGGACCAAGGACACTTCCCTGCGGAACTCCATTATCAAGTGGCCATGTTGATGATGCTGTCTCTTTAATGGTGACATACTGATACCTATTAGTAAGGTAGGATTTGAAATATGCAAGCGCATGGCCTCTTATACCATAATGGTCAAGTTTGTGGAGTAGGATGCCGTGGTCTACTGTGTCAAAAGCTTTTCTTGGGTCAAAAATTCCTAGCGGATATTCCTTATTTTCCAATGCTGTGTAAAGCAGATCTAGCATTTTTATAATTGCATCATTAGTACTTTTATAAGACCTTTGTAGTCATGGGTACTGGTGAGGGGCTCTATAGATTTGGTGCTTCCCCATGATTATAAAAATGTGACTTGGCATTGTACTCCTCAGCATATGTAAGGGACCAACAGAGAAGCCAGGGATCTTCGTGCAGAGTGTGAGGGTGGGCGGTGTAGCCAAGAATGCAGGTCTCAGGCCAGGGGACCAGATTCTCGCCTGTAATGACATCAGTTTTGCCCACCTCGAGTTTGCTGAGGTAAGTTACTCCCTCTAGTCCTGCGTGAAGATAATTTTACTGGGTTAGTAACCCAGTAAAACCACTGGTTTCTTTCAAATTCAAATTTATTTATTTCTTTGCAAGTAGTGCACTGAGATATGTATTTACAATAATGGGTTGCAGTACAAAGAGAGCCTTTATTATGCCTAGGTATTATGGGCTGACTTAATTTAATGGCTTACTGACTACTTAACACTGAAGAAATTTGTTATAGTTGTACAGTAGTTCTATTAATTATAAGTGAATTTAATTTATATAAATCAAAGGATATATTCATATATTCAAAAATGCTTTTTATGAAACATGATTCATTTGTATTCCTGTCGACAATGGACAGTAGGTTCAAAAGCAAATATTGAAATTATATTATGGGAATACGTATAATGTTGTGGTTTGCTAAAAGTAGTTTACAGTATGAGAATGCTACAATTGGTGAAGGGCAATACTGTTTTTGGTAGGTATGTATACTTGTATATGGTAATTTGTCAGTGTATGAACTTGGTCGTCTTGTCTTGAAGTTTTAAGATTTAGGTAATTGGTAGACTTATTGGTAATGTCAAATATTGAGTATTGAGTATTTAGTCTAGGGTGATTAAGTGGCTTTTGAGAAGTCTTAAATTGATTTTCAGACCGGGTTACTTTAGTATTTTCTGGTAATGAATTCCAAATTTTGGGGTCTTTTATGTGCATAGGTTTTTACAGTGTGATATGGACACGAGGTACATCAAAAAGAGATGTGTGTCTTGTGTTATGGTTGTGTCCTGTTTCCATTGAGGTTCTTTGATCCTCTTCCCCAAGATGTGACCCTGGAGTCGGCTACTTACTGTTATGTGATCAGGGGCAACAGGTGTAAGAAAATGTGCCAGTTTCTACTTTTGATGTGATCAAACCCAGGTCCTTTTGATATGAGCCGAAGGAGTTGATTCTTGAACTATGAACCACTGCATTTTTCTATTCGTTTTCCTCTCCTGGTAGACTTCTTAAATTACACTTTATTCAGTAAATCTACAAAATGTTTTATATACTGCATACGTATTATAAATAGGTAAAGTAGTTGTAATTGGCACATAAATGTAATACCTGCACGAGTGAAAAACATTGGGCATGTTTCCTTACACCTGCTGACCCTGTTCACCTAGCAGTAAGTAGGTACCTGGGTGTTAAACGATTAACGTGGGTCGCATCCTGGGGGACAAGACTAAAGGACTGCAATGGAGTCCTAGATGATGCACCGACTTTCTTTGGTTATCCTGGGTGACTAAGTATCCGGGTTAAAAATCCAAACAAATCTTATTTTAATCCCTGTGAAGATCATAGTATCTGTATCTTAAACCTTCAAGAGAAAAAGGAGCTTCAGTCCCTTTGTGGAAAGGGAAAAGAGGAAACCTATTTTTGCCTATTTTTTTTTCCCTTGAGTTTTCCTCTTGAATTGTATACCGTGGCAATTTTAAGTTTTGTGGGTGGACCACTACTCTATAATTTTATTACTCATAAAAAAAAATTACTACTTTTGGTTTGCATTCTAAACTATGAAAGTATTACCTCTTAGTGCTATGTTTGATCTCTTGGAAATGTGGTCTGAGTGTTCTCAAATTGCTGTTTGTTTTACCTTAGAAGCTTAAACATATTTTGTGCACTCAAGTGTGACCCATATTTGCAACACTCAGGCAGTATATGTGCTCAAGTCATCACCTCGTCTGGCCCTGGATGTACTGCGAGGGGCAGGCCTCGACCTTGTGGCTGGAGAGTCCTCTGGGTATAACTCCTCAGCATCCTCCGTGGCTGGGGACCAAACACCGCCCTCCTCCTCCTCTGACCCGCGAGACTCTGACCACAGCATTACTACCAGGTATAACTGTACATTAACATGAAAGCTCAAAATATTTTATCCTTAGGTAGTATGTAAAACATGTACACCACTATTTTACAATGCAATGAAGCTACTCAAGGTGTTTTTGTAAATTTGAGATAAGTAGACTCTCAGATAACATGGTAGTAACTTTCCTAAAAACAGTATGTAATAAAAACAAGTGTAAACTGAACTGAAGAACATATGGGGGAAACAGGGTTAAGTTTATTAGACCCTTCAGAGAGAGCCAACCAATTATATAGGCATCATCAGCTGCTCTAGACCCTGTTTCAGAGCAGTGCTGCTAGATTTGCCAGGGTCCTCCTCATTAAAAAAAAAAATTATTACTTTAGCAGCAACATGTTACTACTCACTTAACTACTGCAGAGTTAACCGTTTTTCTTCAGATTCTTCCTTATCTTCCTTTTACTTAAAACTGCTTGATGCATTACTGCAGAGGAGCAAGCTGAAGAGGTTTTTTGCTGCCCTGAATCCCAGTGAACTTTTTTTCTGTTGCTGACAAATGCAAGTCCTTGCTTGTTTCATAGGATTAAATATTTGCTGTGGCTCATAGGCTCCCTCAAAAATAATTTCCTGTAACTCAGCAGGGAAATTTCCTGCAGCAGTGTAGTCAGCAGAAGCACTTTCACCAGAAAATTTAATATTATGCAACTGACTGCACAATTTGACTTTGTGGAGCCACCCTGTACTAAACAGGCACTCTTGTTCAGGACTTCCTTCCTCATCATACAGTTTTATAGTATGTACTGTAAAGCTTTTTTCCTCATTAAGATGAAATTAAGTGGTGTATCTTGGTTTATTGTTTAACAACTTTTCCCTCCTATTTAGCTGTTCTGACTTGCTTGTCATTCTTTCCAGAAGGACACAACTTGGATTACTCGTTGCATAAACTCATATTTTTGCCTCGTTCTACTTAAATATACAAATTGGTGCCTCATTCAGGCCATAGGCTCGTGCTATCTCCATCACACATCCACCACTCTAGAGCTTATCTGATATTTTGATTATCTTTGAAACGCCAAAACTTTCACACTCGTGCTTCTTTCCAGTTCCAGGATCACTTTCATTCCTCTTCAGTGCCATTGTTGCTATCCAGAAATGAGATGAGATGATGAAAAGATCAAAAGTCGAGTATGGTATTGGATGCATATGGACAAAGCGGTGGGTGAGGGAGGTTGTGCACATTACTCAGGCCTTACCCTTAAGATAATGGACTTGCCTTAATGCTCACTGTGAGAGGAAGGGGAAATGCCACATTGCATACCACATTTTCTCCTACGTGTACCCCACTGTGTAAACCAATTTTTACAGTGTGTTCACCAAAAATATGCTGCAATTTTGCAACTTTAGAGCGCAAACGTGTTAAGAGATGGCGTGTTATCCAACGATCTACTGTGCATTCACAATGCTAGAGCTTGAGGATCACCTCACACATCAACATCATGTGGATGCCATCACAAATTATAGCTGCATAGAATATGCTAAGCCTCGGTAGTGTCGCATTGACAGGAAATAGAGAGTTTGAAGCAATTCACTATTCAAACCAACCTCTCCTCCTCAGTGGTACATTATTTTAAACTTAAATACAGAGGCAGTGCTGCTTATATCATCTTACGTATTATATACTGAACATTTTTATTTAATTTGTTTGCCTAGTCTTTGCCAAGGCCTTATGTAACCACTTGGATATTATTAACATTGACACACTGAGATGTGATCCACAGACTGAGTGCTGTGAGTCGCCATCTGAACTTAGACAGGACACGGGGCTGGAGGGAGATAGAATCTGAGTGGGCTGAAGCTGAAGCAGAGGAGAAGAGGAGACAACTACAATCTTCCCAGAAAACATTGAAGACCCGGGCTCAGGTAGGTGCACGACCCTCCCACAGTCTAATTATTTTTGTTATGTAGCATTTAGTTTTGTGCCATTTTGATTTGCTGCAGTTGCTTTCTGTTTTCAGTCTCGATAGAATAAGTCTCTCACTGTTGAACTTTTATTGTTTTATAGTGTGTCTCATAGGATGGTAAGCATTCTGTAATTCTTTTTTGGCTATGAAACCCCATTAATAAATACAGTAAAACTTCAATTAACCCTTCAACTGTCCAAAAGTATTTCTACGTTTTCACACGTAGCACTCCAAGCTTGATTTTCTCCATAAGAAAGCATGTAAAAAAATGTAGATCTACGTGAACAAACGTAAATCTACATTTGGACAGTTGAAGGGTTAATGGACCCTTATTCAACAGATTTCAGACACTACAGACACAGAAGTTGACCAGACAAACATTGGAATAATTGGACAAAACTGAAAATGTCCATAGATTCTGGATTTTGTCCAGTGTTGATAATGTTCAGCAGTCTTCTGAATCAAGAGATTACATCCAATGATTCTGATGTTTGTTTGATATAGGTCATTGTCTTTATCTGTTTTCATTGTTCTTAGAGCCATAGATCATCCACATCAGTTTATGCTCACTCAGATACACTTGTCACAGTCTCCAATTTTTCCTAGATTTACAATGTTTTGTGACTTGATTAACCTACAGTACTAGGTAGAGTGCAATTAGCAATGACTTCTAAAGCAAATGGTGATGCCATGAGGAAACATGTGAATCTCATTGCTAAGCAGAAACTTGAGCTAATATGAAAGGTTCAGTCTGGTGTCTCAGTGGCATGGGTATGAGAAAAATATGGTATTAGAAACTGTCTGATATCCATAGAAATAAGGGCAAACTTAAACTATTCTTTTAAGTTGATTGTAGATGCTAGCCATTTTCTTCTTGACCATTTAAAATTTTCCTAATGGAGCCTTACAGCTTCTCTGACTCAGAATAAAATTTTAGCTATTCTAAATCACCACTGTCAGTCATGGCACTTTACACCTCACCTTTCCACCACAAAAGGTAAGTAAAATTTTTGTAAATTACTGTACTGTAAAATTAGTATTCTGTCCTGTACTGTACATGACAGTACTATTGTACTTTCAACTTCATTTTATTTACTGTTCCTGTATAGTATACTGTTTTACATGTTCAAATAATTTAAGTGTCTGGTAACTGCCTTCTGAATCAGTGGACCAAGTCCACTGACTCCAAACTTTGTCCATTTGTAACAATTGTGAATAATTAATTATAATTCGGAATGTACAGACAATCTACAATAACATAAACCCCCTTTCCTCCTATTAGTCCATTAATTGAGGGTTCACTAACTTTTGTTTAGTTCATTATTTTTATTTACAGCATTTTAAATGAATGTGTAATTACACATTATATAGGTTTTTGATTGATATGTTGTTGTGTAGAATATTTGCACCGACTGTAGTAATTGTAAGCAATATAGCATTGATAGAGGTACACTTTATTTTTTTTATTTTTTTTTTTTTCCACTATCAGCGAGATGCTAGCCACAGACTCAGCACTATTGGCAGTCGGTCCCTCTGTAACCTGAGTGCTGCTCTTAGAGAAGAGGATGAACAGCGCACATCCTTCAGGGATGGTTCACCGCCGTACACACGCAGTGTGTCTTCTACACGTACCTTCTTGATGCCTACACATGGCCACTATAAGCCTAAGTTGAGAAGTACAAGATCTAGTAATGATGTTACAGAAGACACAAGTCACAAAATAGCCCTGGTGACTTCAGCAGATCCCCATGTTAACAACATAGTGGTGACTGGTGGTCCCAAAGATGAGAGAGATGCAGTATTTAGGCTGGAACAGCTCTCAAGTCCCTCTGCTAGCAGGGTAGGTACAGCAGCCTCAGTAATTTTTGTATGTAAAATCACTGTTGAACTATACAATTGTTTTATTAAAGATGTAAGAACTTTGGTGGGAAGGTTTTGGTTCAGAGGATCATTTGAATTGTGATGTCAACTAAGATAGCAATTAAATGAGTGAAGGTCACTGTTTTATTTTCTGGATCACTTTACCATGCTGAGGAAATGGCCAGTTTGGAAAAAATATGCAATATAGGTTGATTATCAAAAATTTTATAAAAAAAAAAAAAAAATGCTTTATGACAAATGGCTTCTACTAAATATGTTGGTTTGCTGAATAGTAATTCTCACTTTAATTGTTAGCATACTTGATGGCTCTTATGTTGAGTACAGGAAGCATGTACAGCTTGATCTACCCTATTAGCAATAGGAAGGCCATGATTTACCAAAGTTGCTGTGGTTAAGAGCAAGGTTATGTTTATGCAGACACTCTAAGTTACTGTCCAGACATTACTGAATGTGCAACGTTCTCAATATTAACAGTGCAACAGCAGTGGCTAAAAAGAGACGTAAAATAAATCCAAATATTTTGTAGCAAAAAATATAAAGATTCAAAAAAAATTTATTTTATGTTTCCCATAAGAAGGCATGTAAACTTGCTAAAAAAAAATTCAGGTGATACGGGTATTTGTGTTTAAAACAGTACAGCTCCCCTCATTGGCGACATATATTTTTATCGACACTATTATGCCGCTCCCACTATTTAGCAAACTAAGAAATGTATATTAGGTATTTATCTTTTTGTTTTTTCAGTATACAGACACTTGTATAAAAAAAAATACATTAAAAAGGGTTTAAATGGTGCAAAGGTGCCAAAAACAATTTTTAAAGAGATTGCAAACCCACTCCTTATAGTATACTCCTCGTTTAAACGCAAATTTGCTTCCCGCCTACACTTAGGAAAAAAAAAACCGTTGTTAAGCGGGAAGAGGTGTATAAAATTTAAATTTGAAAGGGGGATTTGATAAAGGAATGGTTTAAATTGTAACTTGTTTTTCTTTTTTTAAAATGAGATTATGAAGTGAAACCCCTGGTTTTGGCCTTTTTTTTGACCCGTTCCAGAAGCTTGGCCTAAACTAAAAGGCCCGAAATTTTAAAAGCAAATTTTTCCCCAAAAGAAATGATTTTTAATTAGTTTTCAATTAAAACCCCCCCAAAAATATTCACAAAAAATACATTTTTTAAAGATAACTATTGTTTTAAAACAAAATTTTGTCAATACATTCTTTCTTCTTTCAACACACTGGGTTCCCACCAAGGCAGGGTGGCCCAAAAGGAAAGGGGGAAGTTTTCCCCTTTTTAAAATTTTGTAATATTACAGGAGAAAGGGGTTACAGCCCCTTGCTCCCGGCATTTTAGTGCCTTTATGACAGCATGGCTTAAGGGAAAATTTTGTTCCACTTTCCCATGGGTAAGAGGAATAAACAAGAAAAAAAAACTAGTAAGAAAGTAGAAGAAAACCCAGAGGGGTGGTTATATTGCTTTACGTATGTGTAGTGTGACCTAGTGTAAAAGAAGTAGCAAGGGTACCTGAAACCTGCATGTTTGAGACAGAAAAATGGGCAAAAATCCTACCCTCATGTAAAAAAAAATTACAGGTTTCCATTTTACACCACTTGGCGGGGCTATACCCCCCTGGGCGGGTTCTGTCTACCAAACCCACTACCCAGGTTAAATGAGTATATAAAAGATAAACATTTAAAACCCCTTTACGTACCTTTTATTTAGATCTTGTTGGGAGCTGGACGTGGAGGAGGGAGAGGGAGGGCTTAATTTTAGAAGGGGAAACCCCTTTTCCCTAAAAAAATTTTGGTAAAAAGTCCTTATCCGGAGGTCTTCCCTTTTTTTGTCTTTTAAAGCATAGGACTAGTTTTTAAGTTTTAGAGGCTGGACCCCCCGTCACAAAAATAACTGTCCGGGGTCTGTTTTGAGTCTTTTTTTTGTTTGTCTGAAGTGGGGCTGGTTTTGTCACTGAACATTTGCAGAGATGGTTTTTTAGCTTGTCAGGCTGATTTTCTCGGCAAATGCTTGCCCCTGGATTACCCGGAGAAGTTCCGGGGTCAAAGCCCCAGGCCCGGTCTGGACCAGGCCCCAGGTGGATTCAGAGCCCGAAATTTGCCGGGGTTTACCTGCTGGCTGCACCAATCCAAAAGTATAGCCACGCCCGGGTGGGGCAGGGACGGGGCTTTAGGTGCTTGTCCAGTGCCTGCTTGAAGACAGCCAGGGGTCTATTGGTAATCCCCCTTATGTGTGCTGGGAGGCAGTTGAATAGTCTCAGGCCCCTGACACTTACTGTATTGTCTCTTAACGTGCTAGTGACACCCCTGCTTTTCATTGAGCGGATGTTGCATCGTCTGCCGAGTCTTTTGCTTTCATTGTGAGTGATTTTCGTGTGCAAGTTCGGTACTAATCCCTCTAGGATTTTCCAGGTATATATAATCATGTATCTCTCCCGCCTGCGTTCCAGGGAGCACAGGTTCAGGAACTTCAAGCGCCCTTAGTAACTGAGGTGTTTTATCTCCGTTATGCGCACCGTGAAGGTTCTCTGTACATTTTCTGGGTCAGCAATTTCACCTGCCTTGAAAGGTGCTGTTAGTGTGCAGCAATATTCCAGCCTAGATAGAACAGGCGACCTGAAGAGTGTCATCATGGGTTTGGCATCCCTAGTTTTGAAGGTTCTCATTATCCATCCTGTCATTTTTCTAGCAGATGCGATTGATACAATGTTATGGTCCTTGAAGGTGAGATCCTCCAACATAATCACCCCCAGGTCTTCGACGTTGGTTTTTCACTCTATTTTGTGGCCGGAATTTGTTTTGTACTCTGATGAAGTTTTAATTTTCTCATGTTTACCATATCGGAGTAATTGAAATTTCTCATCGTTGAACTTCATATTGTTCTCTGCAGCCCATTGAAAGATTTGGTTGATGTCTGCCTGGAGCCTTGCAGTGTCTGCAATGGAAGACACTGTCATGCAGATTCAGGTGTCATCTGCAAAGGAAGACACGATGCTGTGGCTGACATCCTTGTCTATATCAGATATGAGGATGAGAAACAAGATGGGAGCGAGTACTGTGCCTTGTGGAACAGAGCTTTTCACCGTAGCCGCCTCAGACTTTACTCTGTTGACTACTACTCTTTGTGTTCTGTTTGTGAGGAAATTTTAGATCCATCTACCAACTCCATCTACCCTGCTCCACATTGCACAAATCTCTCTAATCTCTGAAGAAGGTACCCCCTTCACTCCCTCTTCCTCCTCCTCTAAAGCAAGTTCCTCAGCTGTGGTCTGTTGCTGTTCCAGATGAAGGTCTTGCAGCTCTTCAGTGATTAGCTCTTCCCTTTGGTCCTCTACCAACTCTTCCACATCCTTGCCGCTCACCTCCAACCCCATGGACTTCCCCAATGCCACAATACATTCCAGAACAGGAAGAGGTCGGCAGGGTCAGGTCAGCCTCAAACCCTTCAAAATCCCTCTAGAGGACATATTCTGGCCATAATTTTCTCCAAGCAGAGTTTAAAGTCCAGGAAGTCACTTCCTGCCAAGCCTTACCTATAAGGCTTATGCAGTTGTAGATACTGAAATTATTCCTCCAGAACTCTCTTAGGGCTATTTCAGTGTCTGAGGTCACTTAAAAGCTCCTTTCAAACACTGCTCTTGTGTAGAGTTTTTTGAAGTTAGAAATGACCTGCTGGTCTATGAGTTGGATGAGAGGAGTCATGTTAGGAGGCAAGAACTTCTCTGTTATAAAACTGAAGTCCCTAGACAATAGGTCTACCAAGTTTGGAGGATGAGCAGGAGCATTGTCCAGTACCAGGAGGCACTTGAGTGGAAAATTTTTTTCTTGGAGTTATTTTTTCACACGGGCCAAACACTTCATGGACCCAGCCAATGAAAATTTGCCTCATGATCCATGCCTTATTGCTAGCCCTTCACATCACACACTATTTACTCTTTACAACATTTTTTCTTGAAAACACTGGGATTGCAGAGTGATACACAAGTAAAGGCTTCACTTTAAAATCCCCACTAGCATTAGCATAGAACAACAGAGTTAGCCTGTCTTTCATAGGCTTGTCTCCTGGCAGTGCCTTTTCCTCCTGCGTGATGTAAGTCCTCTTTGGCATATGCTTCCAAAAGAGGCTTGTTTCGTCACCTTTACAGGCAACGAAAAAGAATAACAGAGCGGCTAAAAGAGGCCAATATATCTGAAAAGCGTAGGGAGTCACTGGTCAGAGAAATAGCAAACATCGAACTTAAGCTAAAGGAATCTTATAGGAGTCAGGAATCGCGGGAAGAACTAAAAGCCATAAATGAAATCGAAAGAAACCCAAAGTATTTCTTTTCCTATGCCAAATCAAAGTCGAGAACAACGTCCAGTATTGGGCCCCTACTTAAACAAGATGGGTCCTACACAGATGACAGCAAGGAAATGAGTGAGCTACTCAAGTCCCAATATGACTCAATTTTTAGCAAGCCGCTAACCAGACTGAGAGTCGAAGATCAAAATAAATTTTTTATGAAAGCCACAAAATTTGGTTAACACAAGCCTATCTGATGTTATCCTGACGCCAAATTACTTCGAACAGGCGATAAATGACATGCCCATGCACTCTGCCCCAGGGCCAGACTCAATGGAACTCCGTGTTCATCAAGAATTGCAAGAAGCCCCTATCACGAGCTTTTACCATCCTGTGGAGAGGGAGCATGGACATGGGGGTCGTCCCACAGCTACTAAAAACAACAGACATAGCCCCACTCCACAAAGGGGGCAGTAAAGCAATAGCAAAGAACTGCAGACCGATAGCACTAACATCCCATATCATAAAAATCTTTGAAAGGGTCCTAAGAAGCAAGATCGCCACTCACCTAGAAACCCATCAATTACACAACCCAGGGCAACATGGGTTTAGAGCAGGCCGCTCCTGTCTGTCTCAACTATTGGATCACTACGACAAGGTCCTAGATGCACTAGAAGACAAAAAGAATGCTGATGTAATATATACAGACTTTGCAAAAGCCTTCGACAAGTGTGACCCTGGCGTAATAGCGCGCAAAATGCATGCTAAAGGAATAACAGGAAAAGTTGGTAGATGGATCTATTATTTTCTCACAAACAGAACACAAAGAGTAGTAGTCAACAGAGTAAAGTCCGAGGCAGCTACGGTGAAAAGCTCTGTTCCACAAGGCACAGTACTCGCTCCCATTTTGTTTCTCATCCTCATATCTGACATAGACGAGGATATCAGCCACAGCACCGTGTCTTCCTTTGCAGATGACACCCGAATCTGCATGACAGTGTCTTCCATTGCAGACACTGCAAGGCTCCAGGCGGACATCAACCAAATCTTTCAGTGGGCTGCAGAAAACAATATGAAGTTCAACGATGAGAAATTTCAATTACTCCGATATGGTAAACACGAGGAAATTAAAACTTCATCAGAGTACAAAACAAACTCCGGCCACAAAATAGAGCGAAAAACCAACGTTAAAGACCTGGGAGTGATCATGTCGGAGGATCTCACCTTCAAGGACCATAACATCATATCAATCGCATCTGCTAGAAAAATGACAGGATGGATAATGAGAACCTTCAAAACTAGGGATGCCAAACCCATGATGACACTCTTCAGGTCGCTTGTTCTATCTAGGCTGGAATATTGCTGCACACTAACAGCACCTTTCAAGGCAGGTGAAATTGCTGACCTAGAAAATGTACAGAGAACCTTCACAGCTCGCATAATGGAGATAAAACGCCTCAATTACTGGGAGCGCTTAAAGTTCCTGAACCTGTATTCCCTGGAACGCAGGCGGGAGAGATACATGATTATAGTATACACCTGGAAAATCCTAGAGGGACTAGTACCGGATTTGCACACGAAAATCGCTCTCAACGAAAGCAAAAGACTTGGCAGACGATGCAACATCCCCCCAATGAAAAGCAGGGGTGTCACTAGCATGTTAAGAGACAATACAATAAGTGTCAGGGGCCTGAGACTGTTCAACTGCCTCCCAGCATACATAAGGGGGATTACCAATAGACCCCTGGCTGTCTTCAAGCTGGCACTGGACAAGCACCTAAAGTTGGTACCTGACCAGCCGGGCTGTGGCTCGTACGTTGGATTGCGTGCAGCCAGCAGTAACAGCCTGGTTGATCAGGCTCTGATCCACCTTGAGGCCTGGTCACAGACCGGGCCGCGGGGGTGTTGACCCCCGGAACTCTCTCCAGGTAAACCCCTTAAATTCACTCATTAATTTTTCAATCTCACGTTTGTCTGAACTTGCAGCCTCGCCATGCCTTACAACACTGTGTATACAGCTACGCTTCTTAAATCTGTCAAACCAGCCTCTGCTGGCCTTAAATTCACTAACATCGTCACTCGTTCCAGGCATTTTCTTTACGAGATCTGCGTGCAAATGCCTTGCCTTTTCACAAATGATCGTCTCCAAAGCACTATCTCCTGCTAACTGTTTATCGTTGATCCACACCAGCAACAACTTTCCAGCATCTTCGACTGTTTGTGATCTATTTCTTATTAACATATCTACACCTTTCGCATCATTAGCTTCCTTGATTTCTTTTTTCTTTGCCAGGATAGAAGTGATTGTTGATTTTTTTTTGCCATATGTCCTGACAAGCTCCACCACACGCACACCACTCTTGTATTTCTGTACAATTTCTTTCTTCAATTATATGGTGTTTCTCACTTTCTTTACCAAAGGGCTGGCACTAGGAAGTTTCTTTGGGCCCATGGTTGGTTATGTAGCAGTCGCACTCAATCAGCAAGCACCAAACACAATGAATTTATTGTGAAATGTTTGGATGAGTGCAGAGGGTAATGTTCACTCAAGGATAAACAAAGCCACACTGACTCTCGAAGCCTGCGCGGGCAGGCGGACAGGTCTGGTACACGGGGTGAAACTCAGGGCACAGTGCGAAACTCAAGACAAAATTTAGCTGAAAAAAGCACTTGAAACTGTAAGAGGCCAAAGCTTGAGGTTGCCGAAACTGTATTTGTAAAATTAGCTTGGGCTGACATTACACATTCTAGGTTCCATACATAAAATCTTATTTCTATTTTCATTAACATATCATTATAACATTGCATTTTTTCTACTTGCACTGCTGACATAAATTTTTTTTTTAAATTTTTAATTGTACATGCAAGGTTTCAAGTACATCTTGCTACTTCTACTTATACACGTATTTAGGTTGCACGACACATGCATGTACAGGCATGTACCTATATACACACCCCTTTGGGTTTTCTTCTATTTTCTTACTACATTCTTGTTATTTATTTCTGCTTATCTCCATGGGAAAGTGGAACAGAATTGTTCCTCTGTGAGCCATGCGTTTCATAAGAGGTAACTAAAATTCCGGAAGCAAAGGGCTAGTAACCCCTTCTGTATACTTAACTAAAGCTAAAAAGAGAAACTTTTGTTTCTCTTTTTGGGCTACTCTGCTTTGGTGGGATATGGCCAGTTTGTTGAAAGAAGAGGAATTGTCATTATTAGTAGTAGAAGTATTAGTATTATTAATTTTCAGAGCTTTTATATTGCATAGACTGATGTCTCTCTCCTGCTACTGATCTCTTCCTTAATGAATCCTAACTAGTCATAAGTTGGCCTGTGATAAGCGTTCACATTGCTAAACTCACAAACTAGTATTTAGTCACTTAGCCATAATACCAACTTACCTCATAATTTGTAATACTTTAAATTTAAGAATTAATCTAAGTCTGCCCGAAATGCCTAGCCATGCTAGGTGTTCTAGTGGTACACTCTGTAATTATTTTACTACATGTAAACCACACAATAACCAAATTCTGTAAACTCAGCATTGTAATCCTTATAGAGAATAAACTTTGAATTTGAAAGAAGCAGCTATTCTATAGAGAATTCAAATAATAATTAATGTTAAATTTACTTTTTATTTTCTTTTACTTCTGAATAGGCATATTTACATTTGCTTTGACCTGCATCTAAAATACCATGTCATTTCTTGTTCATATTACGTAGATCTAAAAGGTTGTAGAGAAGATATAATAATGTGTAGCATATAATTATGCCTGTCATTTTTTTATTATTTTATTATTAACACACTGGCCGATTCCCACCAAGGCAGGGTGGCCCGAAAAAGAAAAACTTTCACCATCATTCACTCCATCACTGTCTTGCCAGAAGGGTGCTTTACACTACAGTTTTTAAACTGCAACATTAACATTAACTGCAACATTATGCATTGATCCTAAAACGTTAATCCCAGATGCTATTGTGGCTTGGCCAAGTTGCACATCCTTTACCTTAGTTTATTGTACTGTACTATATTTGTCAAACGTTTCAAAAATAGGTACCTTACAGTATGTGATTTTGCAAACAATGAATGTTGTTTCATACTGAATGCATAGCAAGGCATCAATGAGTATGAGGATCCTCTCATCATTTAATTACCTTTTACCAGACATCTACTCTAAGTAGTGGGACATCCCAAGTGACTGTGAGATCATCATCGGGCAGTGGGAGTTCACCCTCTATAGGTAGTAAGGCTGCATCCCCAGTCGTGGCAGCATCACTAGTAGAGCAACAGTTACGTGAATTAAGAGAAGAACAAAGACGTTTGAAAGAGGAAGCCAACAGATTGGCACAGGAGAGACGCAAGTTTGAGGTAAGATAAGGTCTTATGAGAAACAAATGGTGCCTACAGATTCGTCACTACCATAAACATAGCAGTGCCTCCCCAAACTTGTCGCTTAAAACTTCGTTTAATAACCTGGGAAGATGTTGTAAAAGTTTTAACCTGCAGGAGATGCTATGTTCGTGGATAACTCTTGTATTCATCATATTGTTATGCTGGACATTCTAATACAAGCTGTTGCTTATGCTTAAAACTTCTTTGAACTGTCTGTATAAAGCAATGCACAAATAATGCAAATTGAGTAGTAATGCTATAGTGAATTTTTTTGCACATTTATCACGTAGGATTATTTATAGTATAAGCGCTATATATCTATACGTATATATAATATGTATGAAGTGGTACCCAGAATATGCCTACAAATTTTGTTTAGTTTAATTTACTACTGTTGCAATAGTTGTATTAGAGTTCATTAACTGAACCCAGTTAGTACTTGACAAATTATAATGTTTGTAAATTTTAAATAAATCTTTGTGGTAAATATTTGGGCATCACTCGTGAACTACTGTGTATCATTACCTCATACTCTGACATAGGTGCTATGCCAAGGAATTATTATTAGTTGTGCTCTTACTTTTGATATTCTTTTATAATACTAGTAATAAAACATGGTACAGTAGTTACTGTTTAAAAATGCAACAAAATGTGGATTTGCCAATACAATATATGACCATTTTCTTTTGTATGAGGAAATGATAGTACAGCACTGTACTACTGTAATTGCACTGCACAATTGTAGTGTTGCAACTTCCTGGGTTCCATCACATAAGCAGACTGTATGTGAGTGCAATTGTGTGTGTGTGTGTGTGTTTTCAACATACCATTTATCTCCCACTGAGGCAAGGTAACCCAAAAAAAAGATTTTTTTTTTTATTTTTTGCACTTAGTAATTTGTACAGAAGAGGTTACTAGTCGACATGACTCACGAAATCATAATGACACGATTGCAAACAAACCATACCGTGGGTTCAAATCCCGCCTGTGGTATGGTTTGATGGTTTGGTGAGGTTACTAGTCCCTCTAGTTTTTTCTCTGCCCCTTCCCATCCTTTCCCTGGTCTTAATTCTTGACTGACATGATATAGCACAATCATGTCTATTTTCAATCCTCTATGTGGAGTCTAATTCCACAGTGGGATTTGTCCAATATCTCTGTAGATCAAGCATTCCTTCCTTCCTCTTGTTACAGCCCTGATAATGACACTCCTTGTATATTCCATTTCATTACTTCTTGCCTTATTGTGGAAAAATAAACACAAATGCAGTATAATGGGATCCTTTATTAACTGTTTCACCCACACAGTGGGCTTTATCAAATCTGTGACTTGGATAGTGTTGGTATTTTATACCTTTTATCTCCATTTTGCCTTATTGTATTGATGTTTTCAATTTCTTGTTGGTCCCTCCTGATTCTCCTATTCATATTCAGATTTTTATTTCTTTTATGCAGTACACAGATGATGTAGTTTACAAGTTATAAGATATTATTAGGCATATGAAAAAGCCACTAGTATGCAATACATTTAAGGCAAAGTATGCAGTGCATTTTCAGCTAGTTCTTTGCTTACCTCTGTGAAGACTGCCTAGGATCTTCAGCAAGGCTTTTCACTTCACTGGCATTCTCCAAGTGCTTTTCCACCCTTCCACCTTATCACCTGATTCTCTGAATAATCTTCCTCCCAGAAAAAAAAAGACTAGGTCTTTATTCTTTTTTCTTTCTTTCTCATCTTTTTTCTTCTTGTTTTTGTCTTCTTTTCTTTCAACACACCGGCCGTATCCCACCGAGGTGGGGTGGCCCAAAAGGAAAAAAACGAAAGTTTCTCCTTTTACATTTAGTAATATATACAGGAGAAGAGGTTACTAGCCTCTTGCTCCCAGCATTTTAGTCGCCTCTTACAACACGCATGGCTTACGGAGGAAGAATTCTGTTCCACTTCCCCATGGAGGTAAGAGGAAATAAACAAGAACAAGAACTAGTAAGAAAAATGGAAGAAAACCCAGAGGGGTGTGTATATACATATATGTTTGTACATGTATGTGTAGTGTGACCTAAGTGTAAGTAGAAGTAGCAAGACGTACCTGAAACCTTGCATGTTTATGAGACAGAAAAATGGACACCAGCAATCCTACCATCATGTAAAACAATTACAGGTTTCCGTTTTACACTCACTTGGCAGGACGGTAGTACCTCCCTGGGCGGTTGCTGTTTACCAACCTACTACCTAGGTTTCTGTCTGATCTTTTTTATTTTTATTTTTCTCATCTTTTTTTCTTTTTCCTTTCTTCATTTTCATTCTTTTTTTTTTTCTTATTTTTTCTACTATTGCTTTTGTTACTGTTTCAGCATTCACTTTTTTTTCTTACTTTACTACTACTATGTCTGCTGCTGCTGCCTCTACCTCTGTAATTATTGATACATTGTGTAATTTCTTGCCTTTGTTGTTGCTTTTTTTTTTAGTTTTACTCCTACTACTTTTGCTCTTCTAATTTTGCTCTTATTTCTACTTCTGCTACTACTGCTGTTACTACAGTTATTTCTTTCTCCTTTTTTGTTTTTTTCCTTTTTTTTGTTTCTTACTTTTGTTTCTTGCACCTATATATAGCCTGTCTTCTCTCATATTCCACATGTAATTGAAATGATCTGAGTGCCAGGACTGAATTTTTTTTGATAAAGATGTCGTGAGTGACTACATTCATGACCTCAAGTAATCAGCAGTCATATGCCTTCTTTCTACATGTCTCTTAGCTTTGCTGTGTATCTGTATCTTATATAGAAAGTCTGCTCACACATGTAAGTTGATGCAAACAACACAAACATCTTTCTTGCAAATTTTTTCAGATTTTGAAACTTTTCTGAGTGCAGAGATGCATAAAACTTGATCTTGGCAGGCCACATGAAAACCTTTGGCAGGCCGCATGCAGCCCCCCGCTGGCTGTAGTTTGCCCACTGCTGATCTTGGCGGGCCACACGAAAACCTTTGGCAGGCTGCATGCAGCCCATGGGCCGTAGTTGGCCCACTGCTGATCTTGCCTGTTCACTCTAATTCTACTACATATTTTCCTTTTTTTTTTATGTAGTCATTCTTTCACTCTCTTGGGCCTTCATATGGTTTCCTGGCATTTCTTCTAAACCATGGGCTAAGTCTCTTTCTCTGTCAGTACATGTATTTCTTTTCATTGTGTTTTGACTGGACCATTCTTTTGCCCCTTTACTTTTTATACAATACTGCATTCTGCATTCATTGCCTTACCACTCAGTTTTACCCATGTACTACTTTCACTAATTTTTCATACCTTCATTCTATTCTCATCTGCAGTCTAGTTTCCTGTGTGTCTTCCTTCATTGCTCTCTCTCTCTAGACCTATTTCCAGAGTTGGAAATCTGTTTTCTTTAGAGTATACACAAAAATTTCTCTCAATTTTTATTTCATAAATTAAGACCATTTCCCTAAATAAATAATCTTCCCCACAATTAAATGTCCTTATCTGCTGTGAAATGTGATAAGAAACACATGATTAATCACGGACTAAATTATTCATTTCCATCCTAATCGTATTTAGACATAAGGATTCATAGACATTGATACCTTGGCTTAATCAGCACTTTTGGAAAGTGATGGAGATATGATGATCTCAAAAATTTTATACCTAACAATGGGTTTGTCATTGTAAGAAATATTTGCTGTTAATCAAGTATTGGAACTAATGTATATTAGGAAATAGTTCTTGTTTGTGATATACAGTCACAGAGAACTGCATGTTATGTGTAAGTGATAAGATAAGATTTCTTGATAAATGTAGTGGCAAAGATTGGTTAACTCTCAGTAGGTGTTGTAAACCTTCCCCACACTGTTTCTTTTAGTCTCATCATTTGTGGTTGTTTTACAATGAAAAATAACAATGTACTTTTGCTTTTTAAGCTTAGAAAGTCATTTTTCAGTATATCAGTGATATTTTATCTGTACACATCATAGAATCAGAATGAGAGTATGATTGTGGTTTGGTGTGAGACTTGTGTAATCTGCTATTGTCGGACCCTTGAAAATAGTTGCTCTTATTTGTTGCTATCTGCACCTTCATTCACCTTGACCCTGCTGGCTCGCCACCCCCTACCAGGAGGAGAAGCGTCGTGGTCTAGAGAGAACCCAGAGTGCCCCATTGGCCCCATTGGTGATCACCTGTTCTGGGCAGTCCCTTCTCCCACATCTTCAGCCGCCCCCCAGCCCCACCTCGTCTATTGGTAGTGGTCGGCACACTACCCGGGTTCTTATCAAGTCCCCACCACCACCACCGCCACCTCGTAAAAACACCACCACCTTGACTTCCTTTCATAGCAGCTTCCAGCCCCATCAGGTATCCCCACCAGCATCACCAGCACACAGCAGCAGTAGCAGCAGTGGAGTTGGATCATCCTGTGGCTCTGGTGCTCCACCACGACGCTGCAAGAGTATTGGGTCATTGTCAGCTAGCAGTGGTGAAAGTGCTGTTTGGGAAGATTCACCCATTGCAAACCGTTCTCTTCCTGTCAATACCCATCCAACATTCCGCTCCAGTATGCCACCACCTCCTCCCCCTAAGCCACCTGCACCTCCTAGTGTACACTCAAGTAGCATCAATGGCTCTCCAATGTTATTGGGTGCCCCTTCACCTCCTCCACCTCCCCCACAACCTACCTCCTCTCCACCCCAAACTAGTTTAGCTGCTGCCCTTAATAGAGAACTGCAGCGTCGCTCAGCACAGGTGAGTTACCGTGGTGTGTGTGTGTGTGTGTCATGCACAAAAGTGCATTTAGGGTGTATCACTATGCTGTCATTCCCTTCTAAATTCTGCATCGTACTGTACCTCACTTAGCTAAACTCGTATAGAATGAGTAACTTACTGTTACCACAATGGCATTTATGTACTGTATATACACAAGGTATTGGTACTTCTTTCACCTGTAGATGTTCATTATAATTCTAACAATATAACCTTTAAACTACATTTTATTCTTATCAGTTTGCTATCATCATCTTGTGAGCATGAATGTTACTGTTCCATATAACCTTCATTAGTCCTTTCTTAGTTTCATATTTCATCTCGCAGACTGGTTTTTTATCCCTCATTTCTCACACATCAGAAATGAATTTTGTCAGTTCAAGATGGTGTGTGAGTAAGCCATCAGGAACAATGCTACACAGGTCTTTAATGCAAGTTATATCCTGTATATCCTGACAAATGATGCATTGTTACTACCATAATTGATTTCTTATTGCCATTTTATTAGTAATTGTATGTGTACTGCCGTATTTCCAAATTTATATAAATAAATTTTTATAAGTAATAGTGATTCTGATAAGTTAATTAACTTTATATATAGAATACTGTAGCTCAAATTGATCAGTTTACAGATACAGTACTGTAGCTCATTAATAGTTTGCGTTTGTTACTGTAGTTCATAGTAATAATTTTACATATATTACAGTACATAATCCACATAGTTTACAATAGTTAGAACAGTGTTTCCATTAGTTATGTTATACTGGAGTACACTGAATGTTCAACAGTATTGGTTTGCACATTACACATGTGACAGTAAGCTAACAGCGAGAACTCTAATGTTAAGATTTCATGTCTGCACTGAAACAGTGTCAGTGCAAACTACAAGTTGTTGTGTCATACTATAATTGTTTTTAATATTTTGAATGCATTGGTTTTAGAATTTGATATTGCTAAAAGCAGTAGAGAGTTTTTATTTAGAAAGTGAAGCTTGGGTTTGGGTATGTAGGAGGGAGGAGGACATTTTCTAATAAAAGCCTTGGACCAGGATGTGATGTCACTGTGGTTGTTTAACATACTGATAGTTTGGGTTGTAAAATAAGTGAATCCTGGGTATTGGGGAAAGGTGCAAGTTTAATCCTTTCAGTGGCCTAACATCGAACTACAGTATTGAGGAGACACTCTCTTTATGTAGTTCTATGTCCTGAGCTCAGCTTACTCAGATAAGCTGTGAGAGGTAAATTTTGGCCTAGACATGAGAGAATGGGTCTGCATGGTGAATGTACATAGTATAAGAGAAATCCTGTCCCACAAGGTACATGATGGGAAAAGCAAGGCTCTGACTATGTGTTCAGTTTAAAATAGACTTTGGGTTGTTTTCTAGGATGGTGTTTAGGGTTTTATTGGCAGTTTCTTGGTGTCATTTGAAAGAATGGAAAACATACTACTGAAATAGGGATAGTAATGTGTCAAACTGCTGGCAGTTTTGATTATCCTCTACTGCATATATACATGACTAATTTTACTAGCTACAAATTCTTAGGCATTGCCATAACATAAAATTTGGGTAATTTTGTGTCTGCCCACCCCTCCAAAGGATGCACTGTTCTATACATATGTAAGAAAAGGAAGGAGAGCCTTAACAGCAGTGTAACTTTTGTACTGGATGATTTGATAACTTAGCTTCATAATGTAGTTTAGTGTGGAGAATGCATCAGCTGATCAAGTAGCTATTTGAAGTTACTCTGTGACACTGCTAAAACGATCTCTGAAAATAGTTACAATTCAGGCCAAGTGTTTAGTACTGACAAGACAGGGCTATGTTGGAAGCATGTGCAGACAATAACTTAAATTAGCAAGCAAGAGAAATTTACATGTGGTTTGATGGCAGCTAAGGAGCTGCAGAGGTCATATGAACAGTTCTGTGTTATTGGTAAAGTTGCAGAATTTTTCACTCAAAGAACCCTGACACTTCTAGAAGTATTGCTCTGAAGTGGGGTCAGCAATTGATGCCTTATTGTCGGTTCTGTAAAATCCTACAGGGTAAAAACCACCTTAGGTGCATTACAGAATACCTGTACCTTAGAATGCCAGTTCATCCATCATCTACTTTCAACTCTGCCAACATAAACATACAAATCACAGACATCATCATCCCAGTAGGGCCACATCAACCCTCTCCATATACTTTGTCAACAAGCAGTGACAACTAGAATGTCAGATAATATATGGAACTTGACCTTATCTCTCCCATATGCACATAATTTCAAGCAGTGCAATATTATTTAAGAAGATTTTTCAGGAATGTAACCTGCACATTACTTGAGGGATTTACTGTATGGTATCTAAATTTGTGGGAGAGTTGTGAAATGAAGCAGTGTTAAAGTTAGATGATACAGAAATGGCTTTTATAGATGGTTAAGTGACTTTTGGAGACTTTTAAGCATGAATGCTGGAACATTTTTAAAATATTGTGCAACCAGACATAAACATTACCATAGGTATTTATTATAAATATGCATTTCAGCTTTGAAGCATCAATTAACCCCTTGACTGTCGCAACCCCAAATCCTGAGGTGTCTCCTGGTGTCGCAAAATTTCTGAAAAAAAAAAAAATCTTATTTTTCTTTTCCTGATTGTAATGACACCAAAAGAACGAAATTTGATGGAAAACTGACGGAATTATGCTCTCGCGAAGTTAGCAACCTCAGCGATATTTACGAATCGGCAATTTCGCCCACTTTGAGTCCTATTTTCGGCTAATTCCATTGTTCCAGTCGACCAAACTCATACCTATTTCTTTAGAACTCTATTTTTTCTATCGATTGAGTACAAGAAACTGCCCATTTACAGATTTCAACTACCCAATAACGTTGTCAGAAATTTGAAATTTGGCCAATTTTACGAAAATTAAAAAAATTACAATTTCAAAATAGGGTCCAGAATGAACAATGCAGACATTCCTGGCTCTAAAATAACATTTTCTTTGTTTATCAGTCACGTCTCCAGGCCCCTCTGATATTACTCTTGCTTTCTATTTTGAATTTTTATTCAAACAAAAAATAGAAGATTTACTGTTATGCAGACTACTGCAATATTGTAATAATTGTATAAATAATGTCAGCCCATTCATGACTGTATATGAGAATGGCTACTTGGACATTTATTAAAAAATGACATCATTTGTTTACTTTTGAACATTGGCAAAAATCAAACATTTCCCCTACTTTGAGCTCCATTTCAAGGTTCTTTTCATAGTAAAACCAATCAAAATTCACCTCTGTTTCTATAATACGTTTTCCATTCTATCAAATGAGACCAAGAAAATGAGAATGCAATCTTTATATAAATGCTATACAAAAATAGACCACAAAGTCGGCATTTTAATTAAAAAAAACGGTCGGAGTTTTTTTTTCTTATGCACTGCGTGCTGCAGGATTTTTTTTTATATGTTGCACACTGACCACACAGACCCATTCTCTCACATGTGGGCCTACCAGCTTTCTACTGCTTGATTTGAAGCCTCTAGAACTTCTGAGTTTATACATGTCAAAAATGGTGGCTCGTAAGATGTATATATACGACCGAAACAGTCAAAGGGTTAATAATTCATATGCAATAACTTGTTAACACTGCCTTCCTTGTCACAGCTTTGAATAACTACTTTGTTTAATCATATTTCACATGAATAAAGTGACATAGATAGAGTAACTTATATATACTGCAAAAATCTTATTTTTTCTTGTCATTCACTGTAGGAAGCTCAACTTGTGTTAAATGGTGAAGACAAAACAAAAGCTCAACTAATTGAAGACAAAATTGATGCCTTTAAGAAAGACAAGCCCAGAACAGGACCATCTGACCCAAAACGTGCTCAACATGATAAGGTAAGATGGACACGGGTAATGCCGTGATGAGAATGTCCATTTTGAAATGCAGTATGGCCCCGTTTTACAGCATTTTTGCCTTACGGCATTTCGCTAATACGGCGATTTTAAATTATGACCAAAACTCCCTGTACAGCTCCCCGTCTTTCTAGTACTGCGTGCCCCACCCGGTTTGTTTACAATCTCCATGAGCACATCTCTCTATTGTCTGGAAACTTTCCAAAATTTCAAGCGTTTGAAAGGTATTGCATTTTTATATGTGCTCTGATAATACTTGTGTGTCCCTGTGCCTAATTATACTTACACATTGTGCTGGCATGCAGGTACACATTAAAATCACTAAGAATGTCCCTCTAGTCTAAACACAATAGTAATACTAATAGTATGTAATAATAATCACTCTTGGGCACATTAAATGTCTTATTTTACATTAATATAAACATTTTCTTTAATCCATCTATGATATTTTCTTCAAAATTGTATAAGAAACATGTTACATAGCATACAAACATGCTATGTTTATATGGTATGGAGGTGTGGTAGCCAGGCAGAGGGAAAACATTACATTTTCTCTGGTCCAGCACCAGAGAAAACGTTTATGAATCTGTGTTTGGCCCAGTCATTGCCCTTAACACTCTGCTGTTGCTTACAATTCTCGGCATGAATTATTCATTACTTCTCCCTATGTTTGTGTTGGCATCTAAAGTTAGTTGTTAGAAACGATTAAACTCGGTGAACAGGGTATGTTGGTGGTAATAATATGGCTCTGGGCCGCATTAAATATTGTATAGCTATGTAGGTAGGTGCAGTTATGTAGCCAGGCGGACAGCATAGCTACATCTACCGGCTACCTACACCTGACTTCCTAGAAATAAATACTACTCGCCTCTCATCCTACATTAAGACTACACATATTTTAAGGTAAATAATGAGTGTTCTGTATATACATTTTATCTCTGGGCTGCTTTAAATATCATATACTGTATTAAGTTTGGGATGGGGAGCCAGGGCTACCTACACCTGACTTCCTACAAATAGGTACTGCTCACCTCTTGCCCTACATTGAGATTACAAGTATTTTAAGTAATGAATGTACTGTGTATATATTTTACTCTTTATTGTGTTTTTTAATGCCTAGTACCATTACTAACTTAATATAAGTTAATGTAAACTTACTGCCTGGCATTTGTATGCATTTATAAGTGGAAAAAATGGCATTCCGCTTTAAAGCGATTTCTGCTTTAAGGCAGTGGCCTGGAACCTAACCTACCATATAAGTGGGGCCCTACTGTATAGGAAAAGTTCTCCATATGATTTAATCACAGGCAAATATGTAAATAAATTTGAGTCAGTGAACTTTCTGATAGCACCTCGTATTTCCTTGAAATAATTTTTAACCCAACTCTTTAAATTGCCATTAAGCTTTCATGTCCAAATTATAAATTACACTGTTACTTGTTTTCTCCCATTATTATTACTTGTATGCTTTTTAATTCTCCTGAAAATTAAAGCTCAATTTAACATTAAATTTTAAGTTAATGTTCAATTTCCACAAAATTTGTACAGTACAGTATTACAATATTACTACTTTATCTTCCTGTTTGTACTATATTTACATGCATTATCCAGTATATTTTTTTATTTTCATACTAAAGTTTTAGTCCTAGTATTAGTCCATGTAAGAAATATGCACTTAACCTATTATTGTAAATCAACTCTGTCTTCTTATGGAAGTACACAAGTCTCAAAAGGCCCAGATTAAAATGGTAGAGCCCCGTGGGTCCATGAGCACTTGGAGCCAATTTTTATAACGAGGTTGATATTTTTAAAATAAAAACAAATTATAATATTTTAATATACATGTAGTATGTAACAAAAGGCATTCACAAAGTTTAGCCATTACATACTGGTTCTGTATATTTTATGTGACATTGTATAAAATTTTGCTTAATATCACTGATATCTGTGAAATTTGACTTCCTTGGTGTAGCCTCTGCTCATTGTCTGCTTTCCTCCATTTCATTTGTGTTTGGGTATTTCTTATATTAAAATGATTGTTTAACAACAATTTTTTAATTGCAGTTAATGGAAGAATTTAAACTTGCTCACAAGAAAATGTTTGTTGCAAAAGATAATGCTGATGAAGAGAGTAAAGAAGAAACAAAGGAGCCAAATGTACCAAGCCTGCCCAAAGTGCCTCCAAAACCTACTCCAGTTGAATTTTCTTCAAAAATAATAAGTAACAGCACTATTAACACTCGTGATGGAGTCTCCGTTAATAATAAAATGATAGTGCCCAACCAGAGCAATAATGTGTGTGTACCAAAAACCAACATCAATTATAAATCTAAGTTTACATTGAGAGAAGCAAGCATCAGCAATGGTAGCAATGTTAAGGAAACTATAATCATCAACAGCTCTTCTGCAAGCAACAAAATCAGTTCATCATCAACATCATTGCTGAGACAGGTACCTCTTCCTACTCCACAATCCATACCTCCACCTCCTCCTCCTCCTCCTCCTCCTCCTCCTCCTCCACCTCTGCCTCCTCTACCAAGTTCTGTCATTTGCAAAAAACAAACTTTCTCCAGTGCATTGGTACCGAGCCATAGCGAAGCTATGCATATTTCTCCTCGCACTAATTCCTATCCAGACCTTCACCATAATCTTTCTAGGTCACAATTTTTGGCCACTCCCATTTCCAGCTCTCCCAACACTGTGTGTAGGCCTCCCACATCAGCATCAGGAGCCCCGCCCCTCCCGCCCCCAATGCCCAGGACACTCATCCCGCTTCCCTCTGCTGTGAGTTATGATTTTGTGTCTTTTGTTTATAACAAGTTTTAAAGATATTTTGAAATGCCCCAAGTGCCAGTTTAATTCCTTCACTATTATTTGTATTTTCAATATTATTTGTAGTTATTATTTTATGAGCACTACATCAAATCTTTTGCACTTTATGACCAGTATGAAAATTTAATTTCATTGGAGGGTACTGTGCATGGGTATTTAATCTTACAAATTCTTTTATAAACAGAAAACCAATAATGTTTGAATGTTCATGAGCAGCAATGTTGATCAGTGAGAGAGCACTCATTCTTGTAAGACTGACTTGGAATCCTTCCTATAATTCGCTTTCTCTAACTCTAAGACTGCAGTTGAACATTATAGCTGCCGCTTTATTTTTATTTTTTACCAGAAATGGGGGGGAGGGGGGTTGCACGTGTGTGTATGAGAAAGAATGTGGGGGCAGGGGTTGAATCACAGCTCCTGGCCCTGATGTGTGTAAGTTTGAGAGAGTCTAGAATTTTGTGTATTTAAAATGAAATTATGGTTATGCTGTAATGCCCTCTGCCCCAAGAATTCTGGGATAATGGGATCTGACTAATAAGAAAATAGCAGGAACATAATATAAATCTTCAAAACTATCACTTAAGGCAAAATATAATTTTACAATGAAGGTTGCTTTATAAATCTCTGCAGTACTATAAAGTTGAAACAGTTCAAGAAATTTAATTAGTAGTGTTCTTGCTATCCTTGTGGACTAAGAACTTGTTAAAGTCAGAGGAAACCTCTCACGTTAATGAGAGGTTTTCTCTAGTTATGTAGTGTATTATATTATAGTGTATTATCACTGCACAGTTTATTGTAGCCACACATGCTAGTGAATCTACAATCATAGCCATAATCTCATGCTAAGCAAAACTGAAGATTTGATCAAATTAGATTTGGGGTTTTGTGATACTGCATTGGTAACAAAAGTGTAAAAAAAATGTTCAGTATTCTTTTATAGGTTATTTTTGGAGTAATTTAAGTTTCTTCCAAAAAATTTAATTTAACCATTTCTGTATAACATTTTACCAAATAATTGAGGCTATTGTTTTTATATTTATCTGGAAAGTCTAAATTGGTAAAGATCATACAGTGCCTGGGGAATGGGAGGCAGTCAGGCTGATCCAAAGAAAGGGAAGGGTATCTCTACTTTTCTAAATTAAAAGCTCTTCATTGGCATCAAAGCATCTTACTTAAAGGGGATTGAGGATTGGACTACACAAGATAGGTTAGTAACTCAGAAAATTTGAAATGCTGATAGACAACACTTTTAACCCTCAAACATACAAAAAAAAAAATAGATCAAAGTTTTTTTACACGTTTTCAGATGTAAAAAAAAAAAATCTACTTTTTTTTTACATACTTTCAAATGTTGAAAAAACGTAGATCTACGTTTGGACAGTTTAAGGGTTAAAAGGATATCCAAACAAATATCATTTTTCTAATCTTAGATTTGATGCAGTGAAGTAGTGATTACTACACAGTGTCTAAAATCTTGTCTTCATCCACCACAACAAGCACTTATAATTACATTTTGTTGACAGTTCAAAATGTATTGACCATGTCATATAATTTTGTTGTATTAATCAAGTTCCAGTATAGTATTGCAAGTTAATGACCCCTGAAGTCTTTAACTATTATTTTTGTCCATTTAATTCTTTTATAACATAATTTAAATGCATGTCAAATTATGTACACTGTTAGTATCATACAGCATCTGTATACTGCACTTCCTGCACGAGTGGTGTTATTTGTATATATGTGGTGCATCTAGCAGTGAATTTCTCATGATCAGTGATCATTTTCTTCTTCCTAATACAGTATTTGCTGTTTTTGGGGATTATGAACTTCAAACAATCATAAACATTATAATTTACAAATCCAGAAACAGTACTTTATTTTGTATTCAGTGATAACACACATGATACACAATTTTTGTTAGTTATTTGAAAATATATAAATTCTAAATATTGCATATAAACTGTTATATAGTTTACAGTATCTTAGTATAAATAAATACTATACATACATATAATTATTATAAAATTATATAATTAAAAGCCTATTTTGCAGCAATGGAATGAGCGGTCAGGAGGTAGTAGTAACCCCCAGACAACTTCAGAGGCATCTACTATAGCAAAATCTCCATTACGTCCAGTGAGTGTGGCTGTGATGGAAGACTTTAAGCCTGATGAGAAGTCGTCCTCTTTACTGCGGGCTCCTAGTGCTTATTTTGAACCCACACGAACAGGGCCAGGAAAGCCTCTTGTTTCCATTGGTGCTTATCCATCACCAAATTATAGGCCACCACCTGTCAAGATGGATTTCTTATCTGCAGTAGGTAGTAAAAGTGAACTCAATGGGGTGAGTGTTGATGGGTCACCAAGAAAATCATGCCTACAACAAGAACTCGTGTCTACATTGACTCGCTCAAATTTACGTCAACGTTATGCGCCTCAAGATTTTCCAACAGACCCTCCTACTATTTCCTCCAGTGTTAACTCTGCCAGTGCTGCTTCAGACAAAGAGTCAAATTCTGCTGTTTCACCTTCAGCCACTTTCACTACTACGTCCATTCAAAATAATGCCTCAAGCCCTAAAGCATCTTTATCAACTAAGTATCGGGGTATAAGACAGGATCCTTCTATCACCATCATTATGAAAGGTTAGTAGTAAAGTAAAAAGACTAAATTTCTTAGGAAAATTTAATATCGGGTACATTTGCAGTGCAGTACTGTATATGATATTTCAGTGTTGATTTTGTTTTTGACATTCATACCCAAACCTGATTCACTACTGTATCATCACTCACAAAGACTTTCAAGGTAAAATTTACAAAAGTGCAAATATGTCTCTTGTTCAAACATGAAAAGCTTATCCATAGAGCACAAACACTGTACAGGTGTGTACATTAAAAAAAAATGTGCATAACCTCTGGTGTTTTTCCCAGTAAGCAAAAAAGAATGTTGCATACAGAATCTTTCTCAATAATTTATCTCTGACCTCTCCATAAAATTCTGAAGACTCATTTGAGACTAGAAATACTTAAAACAAAAAATTGTATTTTGCTATTAACCCTTTCATTGTTGGTGCCGTAATATTACACCAAAATTCAAGCTGCTCCAAATCTAGCGTGAGAAAGCTGGTAGACCTACACGTTAGAGAATGGGTCTGTGTGCTCAGTGTGCGCAGTATAAAAAAATCTGGGAGGCCACAGTACATTGTGGGAGTGCCAATTCAGTACACCTTGTTCACCAAAATTTATGTAATATACAATTCACATTCAATGCCTAAGAGTCCTGCTCCACAATACATATTCCAAAATATGTTCTATGTTAAAAACAGAGTGTCGTTCAAATTTTCTCATGAGAAATGTCTCATAAACACGCTAGATAACAGGGATATCTTGCTACTCCTACTTACACTTTGGTCACACTTCACAGACACGCACATGCATATATATATATATACATACATCTAGGTTTTTCTCCTTTTTCTAAATAGCTCTTGTTCTTTTTTATTTCTTCTATTGTCCATGGGGAAGTGGAAAAGAATCTTTCCTCCGTAAGCCATGCGTGTCGTATGAGGCGACTAAAATGCCGGGAACAATGGGCTAGTAACCCCTTCTCCTGTATACATTTACTAAAAAAGAGAAGAAGAAAAACTTTATAAAAACGGGGATGCTTAAATTGCGTGGATGTAGTGCGGATGACAAGAAACAGATGATTGCTGATTTTTATGAATGAAAAGAAGTTGGATGTCCTGGCTCTTAAGCGAAACAAAGCTGAAGGGGGTAGGAGAGTTTCAGTGGGGGGAAATAAATGGGATTAAATCTGGAGTATCTGAGAGAGTTAGAGCAAAGGAAGGGTAGCAGTAATGTTAATGATCATTTATGGAAGGAGAAAAAGAGAATATGAATGTGTAAATTCAAAAATTAGGGTGGATTAAAGTAAAGGTTGGATGCGAGAGTGGGTCATAATAAGCGTGAAATAGCCATCCGGAGAAGAGAGGAATGCAGAGGAGAGAGAGAGATTTTGGGGGATGTAAGTGAATGTATGGGAGCCTTTGAACCAAGTGAGAGAGTAATTGTGGTAGGGGACCTGAATGCTAAAGTAGGAGAAACTTTAGAGAGGGTGTGGGAGGTAAGTTTGGGGTGCCAGGGTGTAAATGATAATGGAGCCCTTTTATTGAACTTTGTTATAGAAAGGGGTTTAGTTATAGGTAATACATATTTTAAGAAAAAGAGGAAAATAAGTATACACGATATGATTGTAGGGCGAAATGACAGTAGTTTGTTGGATTTTGTATTGGTAGATAAAAGACTGTTGAGTAGACTTCCCGGATGTACTGTTTTTTAAAAGGGGCCAAAAGATATATCAGATCACTTTCTAGTTGTACTACACTGGAGTAAAAGGTAGATGGGATACAAGGAGAATAGAAGCATCAGGGAAGAGAGGGGGTGAAGGTTTATAAACTAAAAGAGGGGGCAGTAGGGGGAAGATTTTAAAAAGCTATTGGAGGATAGATGGGCTAATGAGAGCATAGGCAAAGGGGTCGAAGAGGTAGGGGTAGGTTTTTAAAAAAGTAGTGTTTTGAGTGTTCAGCAGAAGTTTGTGGTTACAGGAAAGTGGGTGCAGGAGGGAAGAGGAGTGATTGGTGGAATGATGATGTAAAGAAGAGTAGTAAGGGAGAAAAAGTTAGCATATGAGAAGTTTTTTACAAAAGTAGAAGTGATGCAAGGAGGGAAGAGTATATGGAGAAACAGAGAGAGGTTAAGAGAGTGGTGAAGCAATGTAAAAAGAGAGCAAATGAGAGAGTGGGTGAGATGTTATCAACAAATTTTTGTTGAAAATAAGAAAAAGTTTTGGAGTGAGATTAACAAGTTAAGAAAGCCTAGAGAACAAATGGATTTGTCAGTTAAAAATAGGAGAGGAGAGTTAGAGGTATTGGGAAGATGGAGGGAATATTTTGAGGAATTGTTAAATGTTGATGAAGATAGGGAAGCTGTGATTTCGTGTATAGGGCAAGGAGGAATAACATCTTGTAGGAGTGAGGAAGAGCCAGTTGTGAGTGTGGGGGAAGTTCGTGAGGCAGTAGGTAAAATGAAAGGGGGTTTAAGGCAGCCGGGATTGAGGGGATAAAGATAGAAATGTTAAAAGCAGGTGGGGATATAGTTTTGGAGTGGTTGGTGCAATTATTTAATAAATGTATGGAAGAGGGTAAGGTACCTAGGGATTGGCAGAGAGCATGCATAGTTTTCCCTTTTTATAAAGGCAAAGGGGATAAAAGAGAGTGCAAAAATTATAGGGGGATAAGTCTGTTGAGTGTACCTGGTAAAGTGTATGGTAGTTATAATTGAAAGAATTTAAGAGTAAGACGGAGAATAGGATAGCAGATGAACAAGGAGGCTTTAGGAAAGGTAAGGGGTGTGTGGACCAGGTGTTTACAGTGAAACATATAAGTGAACAGTATTTAGATAAGGCTAGAGAGGTTTTTGTGGCATTTATGGATTTTGGAAAAGGCGTATGACAGGGTGGATAGGGGGGCAATGTGGCAGATGTTGCAAGTGTATGGTGTAGGAGGTAGGTTACTGAAAGCAGTGAAGAGTTTTTACGAGGATAGTGAGGCTCAAGTTAGAGTATGTAGGAAAGAGGGGAAAATTTTTTTCCCAGTAAAAGTAGGCCTTAGACAAGGATGTGTGATGTCACCGTGGTTGTTTAATATATTTATAGATGGGGTTGTAAGAGAAGTAAATGCGAGGGTCTTGGCAAGAGGCGTGGAGTTAAAAGATAAAGAATCACACACAAAGTGGGAGTTGTCACAGCTGCTCTTTGCTGATGACACTGTGCTCTTGGGAGATTCTGAAGAGAAGCTGCAGAGATTGGTGGATGAATTTGGTAGGGTGTGCAAAAGAAGAAAATTAAAGGTGAATACAGGAAAGAGTAAGGTTATGAGGATAACAAAAAGATTAGGTGATGAAAGATTGAATATCAGATTGGAGGGAGAGAGTATGGAGGAGGTGAACGTATTCAGATATTTGGGAGTGGACGTGTCAGCGGATGGGTCTATGAAAGATGAGGTGAATCATAGAATTGATGAGGGAAAAAGAGTGAGTGGTGCACTTAGGAGTCTGTGGAGACAAAGAACTTTGTCCTTGGAGGCAAAGAGGGGAATGTATGAGAGTATAGTTTTACCAACGCTCTTATATGGGTGTGAAGCGTGGGTGATGAATGTTGCAGCGAGGAGAAGGCTGGAGGCAGTGGAGATGTCATGTCTGAGGGCAATGTTGTTGTGTGAATATAATGCAGAGAAATTCGTAGTTTGGAAGTTAGGAGGAGGTGCGGGATTACCAAAACTGTTGTCCAGAGGGCTGAGGAAGGGTTGTTGAGGTGGTTCGGACATGTAGAGAGAATGGAGCGAAACAGAATGACTTCAAGAGTGTATCAGTCTGTAGTGGAAGGAAGGGCGGGTAGGGGTCGGCCTAGGAAGGGTTGGAGGGAGGGGGTAAAGGAGGTTTTGTGTGCGAGGGCTTGGACTTCCAGCAGGCATGCGTGAGCGTGTTTGATAGGAGTGAATGGAGACAAATGGTTTTTAATACTTGACGTGCTGTTGGAGTGTGAGCAAAGTAACATTTATGAAGGGATTCAGGGAAACCGGCAGGCCGGACTTGAGTCCTGGAGATGGGAAGTACAGTGCCTGCACTCTGAAGGAGGGGTGTTAATGTTGCAGTTTAAAAACTGTAGTGTAAAGCACCCTTCTGGCAAGACAGTGATGGAGTGAATGATGGTGAAAGTTTTTCTTTTTCGGGCCACCCTGCCTTGGTGGGAATCGGCCAGTGTGATAAAAAAAAAAAAAAAATGGGTTAAGGGAATTCAATCCTTTTTCTAAAGAGAAGGGGCAAAATTAGCTCCCATCAGTGTCCCGTTTCTCATTCCTATTCTCTAAGCTCAAAGAAACATGCTGCTTTAAATACATGACCATATTTTTCCTATGTATAATTTCCACAGAAGATTTTACTGTTTTACCTTTCTTCTTGTATTGGTCTCTTTAGTTTTCCCTTCAGTTATTCCATGTTTACTCAATATTAATATCAACTACAGTTGTAGATCATCTAATCTCCTCCAAACACTTCACTTAATTTAATCTTCCATTCTGTTATATTTTATACTTTATTAAAATCTCCACATTCATTCTTTCTCTGGGAAGTCGCAATCCTTAATAGGTGACCACATGTAGAATCCTCGTGACAATTGCCTTAAATAGTAGAGCTGAATAACTGCCTGAAACATTACCCAATCATTTGTATCATTGAAGCACTTGCTAGTCACTCCACTCAGGTTATGTGAAAGGCATGGATAGAGTTTACCCTTATAAATACATACGGGAAAATAATTAGGGATATATGACATACCATTTATGAGGCAGATAAGGAGAAAATATAATCTTTTAGGATACAAAAAAAGACAGAAAGCATTATTTATTGAAAGGGAAATGTAGAGATGGGAAGAATTAAACAGATTAAGTATCATTATAGTGCAACAAAGGATTAAAGTCAATTGGTTCTCTACCACTGGTTATAACAATTGGTGTTCCATTAAGATTATCATCATTCAGACACCTGTACTGTATTTGTTTTTAATTTTTTATCTATTATTCACTGTGTGTTTACTGTACCACAGTCTGTATTGTATGTGATACAATGTTTATAATATTCAGACACATGTTTGCACTTCATCATTAATTGCTTTGATTTCTCTTGCCATATCCCGAGCCCTATGATTAGAAATGTCTTAAAAAAAAGATTCTGCATGCATCCTTCTCTTATAAATATGGGAAGGTGTTCATGAAGTCTTTGTTATGTAGTTTTATTATTCAGAGCTGCTTTATGTGTACCGCTTCATTTTATAGAATTATTCATTTGGCAAAATGTAACAAATTGCTGCCATGACTGTTGCAAAAGTACATTTATTCCTACAGTTTAGGAGGGACAAATATATTTAGCTTTTGTAGTTGAAATTGGAATGTACCAGTAGCTCTGAAGGTGTAATTTTATCAATGCATATTTAACCCAATCCAATTACTGGCTCCCCTGAAGGTGATTGTGGTAAGGAAAATGAGGCTCCAGAGTCCCTTCCTACAGGCATCCTGAAGCCCTCAGGCCCAGCTTCCTCCATCAGGCCCCTGCAGAAGTCCATATCATTTGGTGATGTGTGAGTGCTCACCTCATTGAGGGAGTGGGGCAAACCTTTGCTGCTACAACTATTTTCTTCAAAATTTAATTTGACCTTTAATATGACCAAATACATACACTTAAATACTTTGGGACAGCTTTCGAGAATATTAACCGGTCTTGTTAATTCTGTGTTAGAGGATAACATATCCAAAAATCATTATTTAGTTATTCATTTTAGGTATCTTAATAGCTATCTCAGCCTAGATCAATCTCATTAACTACCACATACAGGTCGTTTACAGGTCGATGTTTTGAGTCGAGTATAAAAAGTTGCTGATATATGGCAGAGGTGAGAGTAAGGCCACAGTATATTACCAAATGAAGAAAGCAACACCACTAGCCCACTGATGCTATCATGCTAGTACTGTGACTCGTGCCACTGTTGCAAGTTTTATTTGATATTTCTTACCTATTTTATTTTTGTTGCCAGACACGTCCCTTGTAAAAAGAATGTCACATTTTAGTAAAAATAATACTTAAAATACCAAAAAATATAGAAAAAATTAAGTGGGAGAAAATATGATGTACCATTTTCTAATATTTCCCTAATGGTCCATGTTGGTATGCCTCATAGTGGGATTCAACCTCATGTCCATTTGGATGTGAGCCAAGTATGCTATCCACTGCCCTTGCAAGATACCATGAATATTATACAATTACCAGTAAATTGCACCAAACAACAATATTACAATTTCCACTGTATAAACTATATTATGCATCCGAAGCATGATGGAGATCTGTAATGAATTTTACAGTACAATACATTATTTCTCTATGCACTACAAATAATGTAGTTTAATTTTCTCTGAACTTTTTCTTGATAACTGCAATGGAACACACAGGCATAACACAAGACACTAAACCCTCTTTGACATCCCCCACGCCCTACTTGACCTGTGCAAAAACTCGATACACATTAAAGGCCCTAAGATCTGAAATTCATTGCCTGAAGCATCAAAAGGGACCCCGATCTGCCAGTTAATTCAGAGCTATTGTTAAAAAGCACCTTATCTCCTAAATGTGATTGAAACAGCAATATGCTATGTACAACAAAACCAGCTCATTCATTTGTCTCTGTTCTTCCAGCCTTCCTTCAACTCCCATAGTAAATGCCACAAAACTGAAGATCATTGAATCAGTTTGAAATAATAAGTGATACTTATGAAATTGCACTATTTGTTCACTAGCTACCTTTCTTATTATACTTATGTTTGTATTTTTTTATTATTAACACACTGGCCGATTCCCACCAAGGCAGGGTGGCCCGAAAAAGAAAACTTACTCCATCAGTCTAGCCAGAAGGGTGTTTTACACTACAGTTTTCAAACTGCAACATTAACACCCCTCCTTCAGAGTGCAGGCACTGTACTTCCCATCTCCAAGACTCTAGTCCGGCCTGCCGGTTTCCCTGAATCCCCTCATTAATGTTACTTTGCTCACACTCCAACAGCACGTCAAGTATTAACCCTTAAACGGTCCAAACTTATATATACGTTCACGTGCGTAGCACCCCAAACGTATATATACGTTTTCTTTGTCATTCATTCAACATTGCCACGATAAGCCTGAGTCACCTAGACATGAGAGAATGGGTGTGCGCACTCACTGTGCACCGTATTAAAATAATTGAGGACGCCTGGGTACCATATGCTCTTTTTTCCTATTAAAAAAAAGACAATTTTTTTTCTCTCAAAAAATTTGGGGCACTACGCGAGTGAACGTATATATACGTTTGGACCGTTTAAGGGTTAAAAACCATTTGTCTCCATTCACTCCTATCAAACACGCTCACACATGCCCGCTGGAAGTCCAAGCCCCTCGCACACAAAACCTCTTTTACCCCCTCCCTCCAACCTTTCCTAGGCCGACCCCTACCCTGCCTTCCTTCTGCTACAGACTGATACACTCTTGAAGTCATTCTGTTTCTCTCCATTCTCTCTACATGTCCAAACCACCTCAACAACCCTTCCTCAGCCTTCTGGACAACAGTTTTGGCAGTCCCGCACCTCCTCCTAACTTCCAAACTATGAATTCTCTGCATTATATTCACACCACACATTGCCCTCAGACATGACATCTCCACTGCCTCCAGCCTTCTCGCTGCAACATTCATCACCCATGCTTCACACCCATATAAGAGCATTGGTAAAACTATACTCTCATACATTCCCCTCTTTGCCTCCAAGGACAAAGTTCTTTGTCTCCACAGACTCCTAAGTGCACCGCTCACCCTTTTTCCCTCATCAATTCTATGATTCACCTCATCTTTCATAGATCCATCCGCTAACACGTCCACTCCCAAATATCTGAATACATTCACCCCCTCCATACTCTCTCCCTCCAAACTGATATCCAATCTTTCATCACCTAATCTTTTTGTTATCCTCATAACCTTACTCTTTCCTGTATTCACTTTCAATTTTCTTCTTTTACATACCCTAGTAAACTGCATAATAACTCCTGCTTATTAGTCTAACTCTTAAGTAACTTTAAGCATTAAAATTAGTTTGCCTGAAATGTTTTGCATACTAGTAGCTTTTTGTGCCTGCTGCTGTTTTCTTACACGCAAACACATCATCATCAGTGGTTATAAGTATGACCATAATTTTTAAAGAGGTGGACTGGTAGGCTAGCAGAAGGCTTCTGTCAGATGACCAAAAGCTCCAATGGCATGTCATCATCAAAGACCCTTGTCAGGAAATGCTTGTCCTATTTCCTGATGAACCATACCTAACCTACATTACTTGTACTGCATAAAGAAGTAATTTGTAATAATATAGGGACAGAATTCAGTGAAAGCTTTTGCCATGGATCATTGCTTAGGGAGACACTGACTTGAATGTAATTGAAGTCAGTCTATATACTACAGTACCTTCTCATTTTGATAAAATTGCAAAGCTTTTTATAAATCTGATAAATGGAAATGTAAACAATAAATTACTAAAACAAGACTTGACTAGTGCTAAAAAAGGAAAAGGTTCACAAATTTCCAGAACTTTTCTTACCACTGGCTATTTTTACCACTAAGAAAACAAAGGCAAATGTTTACATTTGGATATAGTCAACAAATATAATCACTACTGAATGGCACATAATAAGCTTAAATTATAAATGGACTGGAATCCTTTAGGGTGTAATGGCAGTGTGTAGAGGTAACCGGTGTGGGAACAATCCATGTTGTCCATGATTGTCAGGCTAATTGATGTGGTAGGTAAGGAGGTATAAGTAAATTCAGGTGGTGTTGACCACAGGGCAGCTGTTAGTGAGACAGAGGCAAGTACTCAAGGATTCACACTCAGTACAGGGCCACCTACTGAGGCCTGGGAGGGGATTTTGAAATTACGGGTAAGAACCTCATTACGAGGCAGCTAAGTCTCATATTCAAAAGTAAACTGCTTACATCTGAACATGAAAAGTATTTAGTGCTGGGTATCATATGAAATGTAGGGAGCAAACTCCACAAAGAAGCATCAAAAAATGTCTACTAGGTAAATGTATTCATAAATGGCTTGTAAATTAAATTACTATACTGCATGCTGTATGAAACAGCATTTTGAAAAGCTCTTTGTTATGCAAAGTGTTTCAGGAAGATTATTATCATCAAAACTAAGCGCTAAACCCACAAGGGTCATACAGCTCTGCATTTCAGGAAAATTAAAACAACTCGACACTTTATAGTTAGTTAGATTATTTGAATGGGTTTGGGATATTGGCAGTTTGGAGGGATATGTTGTGTATCTTTATACGTATATGCTTCTAAACTGTTGTATTCTGAGCACCTCTGCAAAAGCAGTGATAATGTGTGAGTGTGGTGAAAGTGTTGAATGATGATGAAAGTATTTTCTTTTTTGGGGATTTTCTTTCTTTTTTGGGTCACCCTGCCTCGGTGGGAGACGGCCGACTTGTTGAAAAAAAAAAAAAAATATCTGTAGATAGAATTATTTCATGTATTTATTAATTCTAAGTAACAGAACTGTATACAGTATTAAAACAGTAATAAAGGAATAGTGATACAAAACTGTACTGACAATTATAGCTGTAATAATTATTGGGGGTTAGAAATAGCAGTGACAATAGATGGTTATTGGAATCTGGATAGTAGTTGCATTAGTTATGTGGTATCTGACTTTATATTTAGTCTAGGTAAACTTACACAATTTCAGTATTTTTTACCAATATTTTTAAAGCAATGCTAGACAGAATCGTCTGGTAGTGTCATTATTTTTTTTGCATGAAGTTTCTAGTCTGGTCAAGTCAGATATATGGGGGATCAAATAGAGATTTGTTTCTTGTACTGTTTTCCAGCCCTCCAAGAAAGTTTCAGCACAAACAGCAGGAAAACCTGGCCTTAGGCTGACCTGCTTGGGCAGTAGAGCCCTAAAACTGGTCACAGGTAAAGCATGGGTAGGATGCTGCCTTCTGGTACCCCTATGTTAATAGGTTAAGTTGAAATACTATATATACATTTTGTCATTAAGAGTCACATGTCAATCTCTATCAAGACAGGACTTCATGAGAGCACTGTCCTTGCTTGGTCTGGACAAGATGGTATTGACCCATTCTTCCTTATTATACAATAGACTACGTAAACCATATACATGTACATGTATTTTTGCCATGAATATACTATTGATAAAATCTTAAAACTGAGCTTACAAAAGTACAGTAGGGCCCCGCTTTTCGTCTTGCAGTGTTCCGCTAATACGGTGATCTCAAATTATGACCAAAACTTTCTATACGGCAAGTGGTCTTTCAAATACGGCACGGGCCACCCAGTTTGTTTACATTCTCCATGAGTACATCTCTCTATTATGTAATAATCACTCTTGGGCATATTAAATGTCTAATTTTACATCAATATAGACATTTTCATTAATCCATCTATGATATTTTCTTCAAAATTATAAGAAATATGTTACATAGCATATAAACATGCTGATACATATGCTATGGAGGTGTGTTGAAAACATTGTCACTCACCTTAATGCATAACACTTTTGTTTACAATTCTCAGCATGAATTATTCATTACTTCTCCCTTTGTTTATGATGACATCTAAAGGTAGTTGATAGACACGATTAAACTCGATGAACATGGTATGTTGATGGTAATAATATGGCTCTGGGCCACAAATATCGTGTAGGTATGTAGCCCAGGCGGACTACATACCTACATTATTATTATAACTGATAATTATACGTATGTGTACCTGTACCTAAGTAAACTTACACACTGTGCTGGCATGCAGGTACACATTAAAATCACTAATGTGTCTTATTAGTCTTGAAGACGACATGTTAATGGTAATAACACAATAATAATCACTAAGGAGCATTAAATATCGTATAAAATGTTAATATAGACATTTTGCTTAATCCATCTAAATACACCCCACAGTAGAATAAATTAACATAAATATGAGATGTAGCCAGGCAACTTGTAGGACTTGACGAAAACCAGACACATTCATCTGATTTGTTTACGTTGTGTGGGGTGGTGAGGGCTGCCCTTCCTGGCTACCCATACTTCCCAACTTGACTTCATACAAATAAAACTCGCCTCTCACCCTACATTAAGACTACAAATATTTTAAGGTAATTAATGAGTGTACTATATATGCATTTTATTGTTTTAGGGAGCCTAATGTCGTAGTAGGTATAAGTGGCTAGGCAGGATGCCATACCTCCCACACAATTTCTACAAATAAATACTTTACACCTCTCGCCCTACATTAAGACCATAAATATTTTAATTATTATTATTATAATCAAAAAAGAAGCGCTAAGCCACAAGGACTATACAGATAAATATTTTAAGGTAAGTAATGTGTCTACTGTATATGCATTTTATTGCTCTAGGGAGCTGTAAGCATCGTAGTATAGTATGTATGAGTGGGGTGGCCAGGAGGGCTACCACACCTGACTTCTTAGAGTAAATACTACTCACCTTTTGCCCTACATTAAGACTACAAATATTTTGAGGTAAATAATGAGTGTACTGTGTGTGTGTTTTACTTTTTAATGCCTAGCTTTATTGCTAACTTAATATATGTTAGTGTAAACTTGTTATCTGGCATTTATAAATGGAGTTCTGCTTTCCGGCAGTAGCCTGGAACCTAACCTGCCGAATAAGTGGGGCCCTACTGTATATACGTATTATGTTAATACTGGACACTTGTATGAGAGCACTAGCAAGTTTTGTAATACTGTAAGAGGATTTTTATAATGAGCAGTAAGTGCTACAAGAGGTGTAGGTTGCAGTCTAGGTAGTCAAATGTTTTGGCTTCAGGAACCTGTCCCCAACTAGACTTGAGTACGTAAATTACATTTTTTCTCAGAGCGAAGGTTTGTTACAGTGTAGTTATAAAACTGAATATGCCTGAAATGCTTTATTATTAATCAGTTAGTCCATTATGTAAATGCAATATAAACTATTACAATTGAAGATTATTACTGTCATACTAGAGTATATACAATTAAATACTATAGCAGCATTGGTTCTTTGACCTCCCCACTCCCAGTATTATTAACACTGTTTGCTGCCCACTATCTCAATAACCCCCAAACTTTTAAGATAATATGGAAATTATCCCCAAACCTTGCACTTCACCACTAACCACCTTAACCACTCATACCTCTGTGTTATGCATGTCATTACTATATGCCTTATTCATATTTAGCTCCCTGGCAGCACATTCTTACATAAACAGTACTGTTAATATAAGTGCATATTTTAATGAAACAATCTTTCATGCATTTGTTTATATGCAAGTTTTTGTAATACATATGTACTTATGCTAATATGTAAATTTTTATATGGTAGGTAACCACCTTTCAGAAAACAGATCTATATGTGAAAACATGAGTAGAGTGAACAACTTGTGGGAAAAATTTTGGTATATCAAAAAAAAAAATCACTTAAATCAGTAGTAAAATAATTGGCAATTTATATTGTAGATGTGTCTTTTGATCTAGGCCTAATTAGACCCTCAAGTGTTTAAGTTTGACTTGATGCAAATTTAACCTCAGATAACCAATTTTGCACTTGTGCCATCAAGACAATTGTAAAAGATTTATATCTACCCAAAACCTAAATAAAAATTTTTTTGAACTTTAGCTTCTTTAGGGAAGCATGCATTTGACATGTGTAGTCCTTCCATAGAAACTGGGCATACACTACTTCCAGAGAAAATACAGCTAATAAAATGATTGGGGCTACTTTATTTTTACAGTTTTCTTTTTTTTTTTCTTTAAAAATACTCAGATTTTCATGCTTATTCCTCTTCTCAGCACCTCTAGTATTATGCCATGGTTAATTATTATTATAATAAAAAAGAAGCGCTTAGCCACAAGGGCTATACAGCGCTGCAGGGTAGGGAAGGAAGCGAGGGTATTGGATGGCAGAAGGGAGGGATGATCAGTAGGTTACAGAAAACAGCGGGGCAGGGGATTGTACGGGGGTAGAGAGTAGCAAGAGATTGAAGTAGAAAGGGCTGAAGGTATCAGAATTTGTGAAGTAAGTCGATTGTTGTCAAAAAGTCAATGAGAGAGTCCGGATGAAAGGTGGGTCCATCAGCGAGAAGGGAAGGTAAAGAGAGAGCAGCGGAGTGAAGACGACGACGGAGGTAAATTCTGCGTGCTCGTTGATAAAGTGGGCAGTCCAACAGAATGTGGCTGACTGATAATGGAGCTTGGCAGTTCTCACAGAGAGGAGCAGGGCGCCTCTCCATGAGAAAGACTAGTATGACCAATGCGAAGACAGGAGAGAGTAGTCTCCCAACCTCGACACTGGTGATAACAAGACGGCCAGTAACCTATACATGTACTCGGTTTAATAGATTGAAGTTTGTTGCCGAGCATAGTAGACCAACATTGTTGCCAACGGGTGGGAAGATATTGCAGCAAAATAGTCCGTAAATGGAATACCTCTATATGAAACTGGTAGGTCATGTACTGCTGACCGCGCAGCAGTGTCTGCCTGTTCATTGCCCTGTACGTCAACATGACCAGGGACCCAACAAAAAACAATATCTTTATGCTTGGTAAAGATGCGGCGTAGCCAAAGTTGGATACAGAGGACTAAGGGGTGAGGTGTATCAAATTTCTGTATAGCCTGTAAAACACTAAGGGAATCTGAGACAACCACAAATGATGACACAGGCACAGATGCACTACGGATAAGTGCTGCAAGGATGGCATACAATTCAGCAGTAAAAATACTAGCCGAAGATAGTAAATGTCCTCATACGACGCTGTCCGGAAATACTGCTGCGAATCCTACGCCGTCAGAAGACTTAGAGCCATCTGTGTACACAGCAATGGCATGAGAACGAGAGTGGAAGTGGTCAAGAAAAAGAGAGCGGGAAGCGACCGTAGACAGTTGGGCTTTCGAGCAAGGGAGAGAGAAAGAACAGACTCGAACAGCTGGAACTTCCCAGGGGGGTAGGGAAAAGTGAGATGCTACATGTACATAGAAAGGTGGTAATTGAAGAGAAGACTAGCGAATGAAGGCGAAGAGAGAAGGGACGGAGTAAACAGGGGCGGCGAACAAATAAAGAATGTCTACTAATATCAGTGACCATTCTATAAATGGAAGGATTGCGGAGATCATGAGAGCGTACATAGTAGCGAAGGCAATGGGCATCACGCGATTGGATAAGGATGAACGTTCGCTTCTGCATTGAGGCTCTCGACAGGGGAAGAGAGAAAAGCACCAAGGCATAAACGTAATCCTTGGTGATGAATGGGGTTAATTAAGGCTAGAGAGAGTAGCAGGAGATGCCGCTGAATAGATCTGGTCACCATAATCAAGTTTCGATAAAATGAGGGTGGAATGTAGGCGAAGGAGGGTTTCGACGATCAGCTCCCCATGAAAGATGTGCAAGGGTTTTAAGAAGGTTCAACCGGCTGTGACAAGTTGCCTTCAGAGAGGTAATGTGAGGTTTCCAGGATAACCTACGGTCAAAGAGGAGGCCCAGAAACTTGACTGTATCACGTTCAGGGATATGGGAGCCATAGAGGTACAAAGGATGATCGGAGATGACAGAGCGTCTAGTGAAAGTAATTTGGTGGGTTTTAGTGCTGGAAAATTTAAACCCATGTGCGGTGGCCCAATTGGAAACACGGTTGACCGCATGCTGGAGAGAAACTGTAATGAGGTGACAGTCAGCGCCTGCACAGCCAATAGCAAAGTCATCAATATAGAGTAATGACCAAATATGTGATGGAAGACTAGAGGCCAAATCATTAATAGCAAGGAGAAAAAGTGTTGTGCTCAGAACACATCCCTTGGGGACACCTTCAGCTTGGATAAAGTCCGGGGAGAGCACATTAACCCGAACACGGAAATGCCTGTCAGTTAAAAAGTTCTTAAGGAAGGATGGTAGATTGCCTCGAAGGCCTAGAGTGGGCTTGGGCTAAAATATTATACCTCCAAGTTGTGTCACATGCCTTCTCAAGGTCAAAAAATATGGCAATAACTGAGTGGTTATTCGCAAAGGCATTACGGACATAAGTATCAAAGCGTAGTAAGGGGTCTATGGTAGAACGTCCCTTACGAAAGCCATATTGATGAGTGGAGAGACTGTTGTGTGTCTCTAAATACCACACTAAACGTCTATTTACCAGGCGTTCCATCACTTTGCAAACTGCACTGGTAAGAGCAGTGGGACGATAGTGGGAGGCTTCATGTCCCGTAGTGCCTGGTTTGCGGAAAGGGAGAACAATGGCAGATTTCCACAGCTGTGGAAGAACTCTTGTGACCAAATAAGATTGTAAAGGGTAAAGGACTGCAAGGGCTGATGTGAAAATGTTTTTGCTACGAATGGAATGTGTCGGGCCCAGCTGCCGGATCGGAAAGCTGAGAGTGTTGCGTCCAGTTCTTAAAGGGTTTTTAAAGGGACTTATACGTTCTTCTCGAAGAAGGAAACCCCAAGGGTGCTAACTTCTGCAGACTTTTGAGGGGAAAGAAACGAGGGGCAAGAGGGGTCCCTGAGAGATAGGCCCGATGATTCCCCAATTTCTTGGCAACATCTGTGAGTTTTGCTATATCAACACGGGCAACCCCAGAACGGGGCCCGGGTCAGGAGAATATTTACCACTCATTTTTCGTATTTTTTTTCCAGACTCCCTCAAGAGGAAGCAAGGTGATGGGGGAGACTAATCTCCCCAGCAAGTGCTTTTAGCGTCACGGATGACACGGCGAGCGATCGCAGCTTTGTTTAAAAATAAGAAGTCCCCCATGGTTTTTTGTCCCGGCCCTCCCCCCAGCAGCGGTTCAAACGACTGCGCAAGCAAAAGCGGGACCACCAAGGAGATTTCTGAGAATCTGCCCAAAGTTTGGGTATAAAATTAAAGGGCGGTTAAAAAAGGGGCGAAAAGGGGTTGTAAAAGTCATAAATGGGGGGACGAAGAAGGAATCTCTTAAAAACATTTAGGAGTAAGAAAAGGTTCCAATTTGCCTGATCAAATTGCCAGCGTGGGATGGAAGAGTGGTGAATGAAGGAAGTAAGAATGATTGGGAAAATGATGCTGTCATGTAAGTCCGGGAGCAGACAAGTAAGAAAATGCGGGGGGGGAAGGCGGGGGGACGAGAGATCGATGCAAGAGAGAGCGAGTCCGGGGATCAAAAGGGGTGAGTCCCTGTTTTTAAAAACGGGGGGGGTGGGTGGCAAGAAAAGCCTCTAAAATGCCCGGGAACACAGTGAGCCCCCCCCCCCCCAGAGGAAATGATGGGCATTAAAATAGCCCCGTAACGAATGGTGGCGGTAATGACGAAACAAGAAAGGCAAATCCAGAAAGTAATGCCCCAAAGCAGAGATATAAAGAACAGAGGTTACCACCTATGCAAGTGGGTACGGGGTGCTGTGTAAAGCAGCGAATCCGAAAAAAATAGCTGATGGTCTGAAATCATTTCGTAGAAGGGCATTTTATTAAAATCCCCTCGGAAAAGGATCTGAGAATACAATAAAATTTTTCCTGAGAGGGGGAGAGAAAGCAGGTGTAATTTTTTGGGTTCCTGTAAGCAAACACCCAAAAGGGGAAAACTGGGAGAGTAACATGAAACCGGGCGTATATTCCACTGTAAATAGGCCATGATTGGCAATGATAAAAATACAGTGGCCCCCGACCCGCGATATTAACCATTCCTGAGAGTCATCGTTAATCGAAAATTATCGTAGTCGATTAATTTTCCCCCCTAAGAAATAAGGAAATAAATTTAACCCCTCAAGACACCCCAAAGATTAAAAAAAAATTTTTTTACCCCAGAAATATTAATTTTAATACCACAAAATGAAAAAGACATGCACAGTTATATAAACTTCCTTTAGAAGAACTGGGATGATTTTGGGAGGGAGGAGGGGAGAGTTTGGTGGGGTGGGTTTAAAGGGGAATCCCCCCCCATTAGGCTTTAGGTGGCAAGCCTTTTTCGGGGGTTTTTTCCCCCTTTTTAATGCCACTAGGACCGCTTTATCATGGCCCCTGTCGCACAACATATTGTCCTAGGGCCTCCCCTCCGTTCCTTTTTGACATTCCTAAAATGTTTCCAACATTGTCAGTGTCACAATAAACACTTTTCAGGTTTCAATTCCACTGTATGTACTCTTGAATTCCGCAATATTTTTCAGTGCTTTTTTTTGGGCCAAACTGGAGCCTCACCCTGCAAACACACTATGCATGCCCCTACAAATTTTTAAATTCTTAAAAACCCCTTTGCTGGCTTAAATTCACTCCATCACCACTATTGGGCATTTTTCTAAATTTTATCTCATTCAACTTCCTACCCTTTTTCCCTAGATCGCTTGAGGGTGCTTTTCCCCGCTTCTGTTTTTGTTTATCCCCACAAAAAACTCTCTCAAAACTTCGAGTATTGCGGTCGTTTCGAAAACAAGTTACCCTTTGGCAAGAAGCTTCCTTGATTGCCCTTTTCTTAGCCACAATAGTGGATGGTTGTTGGGGTTTGTGTACAACCCGGCCAGTCGGGGACAGCACTCCATTCATATTAGCAATGATTTTCTTCATATCCCTAGTAATTCTCACCCTTTTTTCTGTAGGATTGGCTAGAAGCTTATTGGGGCCCATGGTGACTTATTTTGCAGGTGCAGTCATTAAAAAGGCTGTGATAATACGAAATGTTCCGATTGTATGCTTGGAAGCGACTGCGGTGGCTGGCTGGCTTGTAAACACTGGCCAGAAGTGGATGCGTCTCAGATGGAACGAATAGTGTTGGTCGAGTTTTTTAGCGCTAGTCGAGGCAAAATTTTTGCTTTAAAATGTATCGCTGGTCGGATTTATTGTTGATCGATGCCATCGTTGGTCGAGGGTCCACTGTACTTGAAATCCACAGGTAAGGGTTCCTACGGACTAGAGGGGTTAGAAAAGTCCACATGCGGAGGCAGCGGAAAATGTTCAAGCAGCGAAGGAACAGTGCGCTGTGAAGAAAGGAGTTGCGCAGATGGAGGAGAGGAGAGAGAAGGAACAGAGGGTGGATCAGTGTCCATTGATGGTTTGGTCTCTGCAATATATTCAGAGATTGCTCCTCTTCAAGGGGGGCTCCTTGGCGTGGTGAAGAGGCTCTTGGTCTGAGGAATTAGACCTATCGGTCTTCTTCCTCAGACCGAACATAATTACCCCCCAATCTCCCCTCCCCTATCCCATCCTCCCCTATCCCCTCCTCCCCTTTTTCCCTTTTCCCTCCTCCTCCCCCACTCCTCCCTTTTGCCCTTCCTCTTTTTGTCTTTTGGGGTTTCTCCCACAGGCGCGCTAGTTCCTAGGTAGGGGAAAGGACACCGGGGTCCATCCCATTCCGTTGAGGTTTCTTGGCGGTGGCGTAGTTTGCCGTGGAATCTGGATTGCCTAGGGATTGTCCCGATCCCTCTCCAGTATCCCGGGTAGCTTTTGGGCGTCTTTTGGGCGCGGGTGTATCTCGGAAGCCACCTTTCGGATTCCGGGGGTGGTTTGGGTGAAAGGGGGTATGCTTTGTGGCGGATATCCGGCCGCCCTCTCTTTTGTCCACCGAGGTAGCTCGGCAGATGTGAGGTTGCTATCCCCGATTGTTTGGTTTACTGGCATGAAGGGTAGGGTTATGGCAGGGTTCCATGCTGCATCTGCGCTACTAGCGGTGTTTGAGTCCTCTTGGGCGCGGAGGGAGATTTCTGGCCCTTTCATTCCTCCTAGGAACTATCCCTCCCCGGTCCCCCCTTTTTTTTTCTTTTTTTTTTTTTATTTTCTTTTCTTTTTTTTTTTTTCTTAAAAACAAAAAAAAA